TGTCATTGGTAATCTTTCGTTTAGCATGTAGTGGTCTTCAACAAGAAGTAAGTCAATAGTTCTAACAGTTTCACATTCTTTTGGTATGTATCTCTTTATTTCATTATGTCTTGAGTCATTGAAATAACCAATGGTAACATTAAATGCTATACCTGTTGCGTCAGAAATTTCTTGTACTTTACTTTGAGGAAAGTCTCTAACACGAATGACTTCTCTCATGTGGTCAATAGTTCTCCATCTACTCCAGCCTGAATGCAAGCATAAACGAAACAATTGTCTTCTGTCATAAGTGCTGCAGTTCTTTTGTTCAATTCATTGAAGATTTGGTAGCGCTCAAGATTTATAGGTAATGTGCAAAGATACTTCCAGAACTGACCGCTTCTCTTCTTATAAAACTTCTTTTCACCATTATCTTTCCAAAAGCTTTCTATAAGTGCTGGGTTTCCTGTTTGCTTAAGAGCTTCCAAAATGGCTTTCTGGTCATTTGTCAGTGTGCTTTCATCTCTATATGGTCTCTTTTTTGGTTTGCCTTTCTTTACATCTGACATCGTTAAGCCTTCATATTCTGTTAAATCATACATCTTTATTTCGTAAGATTCTTTATGTTTGTCAAGAAGAAGTCATAGTGCATTTCAACAATACCTGCAGCATTTGCTTCTATCTCTGATATAAAGTTCTCCTTCAAGAGCTGATGTAGTAATGTTCCAATATTATTGAGGTTTAACGTAGAACATTCATACTTTCCACCAAGTTTATAACATACCATCCATCTCTGTTGTGAGTTTATTTTAATTTTCTCTAAGAGTCTCATGAAAACCTTACCGAAATGTTTGTGTAAGTAGTCTCTGTTTGGTTCATCTAAAGCTTCGATGTTAAAGTCAATGAGTCTATTGCCTGACTTCACATTTCTCTTCCTATTCTCTTCATCTTTCTTTAACCATCTCTCACCTTCTTTTGGTTTGTCGTCAATGGAACGAATGACATCGTTAGCTTTGCGAACTTGTTCTATAGCACTTTTAAACATCTCTCTTCTCTGTTGTTTCAGTGTGTCGTCTCTCTTCTGTTTACCAACGTTTGCATTTGTTATGTCAAACATTTCTCTTCTTACTTCATGAGGTACTGAACGTCTATGATATAAGTCAATAGCAACGTCATTTAAAGGAAATGCTCTTGCATGGACTTCGTCCTCGCCGCGTTGCGGCTTTATGAACTCATGAATTCTATCATAACTTATTGCACCATTATAGTCTTTAATGAAGTCAGCGAGTGCTTTTTTGTTTGTTGCGTAATCTTGTAGCTTCTGTAAGAAGTTGTTTTATTTCCGAGTGTTCTAACTTAGACAACTTCCGATACATCTTTAGTAGGAAATAAAAAAATATTTTTTGAAAAAATTAGATTAGATTTTTTTAAGTTATTTTTCAAAATAATTTAATATTTTTATTTTAATGAAACACATGCAAGATTGCAAGTTCTTTTCATACAATGCTCTCGCTACTGCCATCAAGAATGAGTTCAATGGTGCTGCAAACGTTAATGTTATCTTTAACAAGAAGTTTGTGAAAGAATCTAAGTTTGGTCAGTATGTCAGACCATTAGCTATCGTCATTGACCGCAAACGTTATACTTCACAAGAGTTAGCAGTAGTTTTGAAACAAAAGGGTTTCTTCGTGAATGTCAAAGATACTCATTATACTGTCATAAAGAACTCTAACATTGACTTCTTCAGTATTGCTTTAAATCTTTCCGAACAGAAAGAATATAAGAAAGGTGAAACAAATGTGAAATATTATCCTTCATCTCTGAAGACAATAACGAACAAAGATGTTATACAGAAATTCTTACCAAAGGTTGAAGAAGCTTCTATTGACATTGACGAAGGAAGTGAAATGGTTGAAGAAATAGACCCTGAAGCTATTTAAGCAAAAATATATTTTTGGTTAGTCTTCATAAAATATCGATATTTTACAACAATTCCCCAATGTATAAACTTTTCATACGCTTTTTCATAAGCTTTATATACCTTCAGAAATTTTGCATAATCTTTAGAAGCATTTAGATATTGTTTAAATGCTTTGTATGTCTTCAGAAATTTTGCATAATCTTTTACATGTTGTTCGTTCTCTTCTTCTGTCATGAGTTCCGAATATTCTAAATTCATGTTCTTTCATATGAGATAAAATTTTATAAAAAAAAATAAAATTAGCGTAGATTTTTGTTCATTCTTCCTCTTTGAAGTTATCGAAATATTCTGTTATTTTTTCCTTCATTAATGGTAAGTCTTCTTTGAATGTAAGTATTGTGCAACCTTTGATGTCATAGTGTGTTTGAGGAAGAGTATTTTTGACAATTTCCTTTATTTGCTCATTCGGTGTCATTGAAATCGGTAAGTTTTCACGATAGAACCAGTTTCTGTCAGATTTATATATTTTAGCGAGGTCGTAAAAGCTCTTGTTGTTTCTTCTCACTAAATGTAACATAACCATATCTTTATCTTCTTCATTTTCCAACTCTTCAGTATATATCATATACTTATAACTCTTTTCCTTTCCTTTTGGTACTGAACGCGGTATTCTTTTCTGTATGCTTTTGTCTTTGGATTCAATGACTTCATCTTTTGCATTGAAGTTTCTTTTCCATCTCTCCACGTTCTGCTTTATATAGTTCATCTAACATCATGAAAATATAACAAGCATAACGGGGCCAAGCCCACATTGCTACAGCATTTACTAAAAGTCTATGAACATAATAACCTTTCAAACCAGGAGCCAAATTCTTGCGATTTTCATACGGAATCTCTTCCCCCGGTTTTCCGAGGGAAGCAATCATATGAGGAAATTCTTCTAAAAGTTCTTTTGTCTGTTGGTTTTCAAACCAATGATATGCTTGCTTTGTAGAACGAAGAGCATTCATTATACTTTGCATTTGGTACATGTCATCTTTGACTGAACGAATGAGACGTAACTGTTTGTTATACTGTATGTACTCGTATTCTTCATTTATAGCTTCATGGACTATAACTGTTGTTGTGTTCTCTGATGTTGACATTACTGTCTTTACATACAAAATAAAAAAATAAATAAAAATAAAATTAGCGTTATTTTTCTAACTAATGAAATTCATTATTTTTGTGCTGAATTCAATAAAAATATATTTTAGGGTAGATGGTTAGATCTAACCCGATATCTACACTCATTTCTACCCTCATGAATTTTCATGAATTTTCATGAATTTTATATATTAATGTTTTCGTTAAGCCACTTTGTGCCGTCAGTCAGTCAGTTAATGAAATTTACACCAAAAATAATTTTTAGGGTAGATGGTTAGATCTAACCCGATATCTAACCTCATTTCTACCCTCATTATTTATAACCGTTTTACATGGTAAACGTTATGAATTCGTGAGATTCTAAACAGTTTTGTAGCTTCTATTTCTTCGCTGAGGATATCAAAAATTTTAACAATGCCGAAAGTTTCTTTATACTTCTTCTTGACATCAGATAGAAGGAAATCGTCAGCAGTTGGATAGTTTTTGTTCAGAAATGCTAACATGTCCATTTTATCTTCTACCGGCTTCTCTGCCTCCCTCTTTAAATCTGCATAGTCGTTTCTCATTCTTTCTATCTCTTTTACTGAATAGTTATATTTCCTCATTGCTGCTTTACATTTAGAACATTGCGGATTCATTTTTGCGTTATATTCTGAAACCTTACCTGCTAAAACAACTAAGGCGTCAATGGTTTTCTTTAAATCTGAAGCAGTTGGTTTTATCTGTTCATGCCATACCTTACCTCTTCTATCTTTATCTCTTATCTGCCATACACATTTTGCAACAAATGAAACAAAGTTGTCGTATGCCTTAAACTCCCCCGATTTATATATGTCAGAGATGTTCTTATATACCATGTCGCAATCTTTGTCCATAACTTTATGGTTGCAATGATATCCTAGAAACTCATAATTTACCTTTCGTATGAACTTCTTTATTTCTGCAGAATCACTAACTTTAACTTCAATTTCATCGAATTCAGGAATAGTGAGCTTTTGTTGTTGGATTTCAGGCAATTTGGGTAAATGGTCAATAATGTCCTGCATTTCATAAAGATATTCTTCATTTTCTTCATCCTGTGCGGTACAGTCTAAATTACTTGTTAAAAGTTCTTGCTTTATTCTTTGTATTTCTGTTCCAAAACTATATGAAGAAGGAATGAAGTTTTTCATCTCTACTAACATAGATGTTGGATTCATGACTAACGAGTTTGGTGCTGTTGTTGTTTGAATTGTTGTTGTGCCGATTGTTGAAATCATATCTTTTATACAAAATAAAAAAATAAATAAAAATAAAACTAACTTTATTTTTTCTGTCTTAAGGAAATTCATGAAAATTCATGAGGGTAGAAATCGGGTTAGAAATGAGGTTAGATCTAACCATCTACCCTAAACATTATTTTTGGTGAATTCAATAAAAATAAATGGTTCATTTACTCACAATATTTTTGTACAAAACGACCCCAAACTTTTAACTTCTTTTCTGCAGCTTCTAATGCTATCTTAGCGAGTTCATATTCTCTAAATTCTCTCTTTAAATCTTCTTGTTCCCATTGGTCTAGTTTGTATGGAGAATCTCTATAACCATAACATATCTCACGTTCATGTTCTAATTGTTTTTCATGCATTTTTCTAACTTCTTCTTCAAACAAATGTTTTGCATTCTCTACTGTATCTTCGAGTTCTTCTTCATCTAACTTCTCATGAACTTTCTTGTCTATGGAGTCCATAATATCTTTGACATAAAATGCATACTTTACAGAGCACCATTCAGCAACAAAATGAACGAGGTCAGGATGTATGTAAATACCTTTGAATTCATTTATAACACCCTTAGTAAGCTCATAAAATGCTTGTTTTGAGGTCGAGCCACTTTTGGCTCGACCGTATTCTTTCAACCAAAACTCAAGAATTTTCCTGCGTGAATTTTGTATAAAACCATTTAAACAGATTTCTCAAGAATTTTCCTGCATTTTAGCACTATTGAGAAATCTGTTTAAATGGTTTAACCTTCCCGCTTCTCTTGCCATCTTTGTTGCATTAATGTAACCATCCTTGTCTCTACGTAAGACTTCAATACCGTTATAAGTGCCTTTTGTGAATGTTTCGCCATTAGATTTGTTCGTGAATGTTTTTGCTTCGACTGACATTTCTGTTCTTACATACCAAATAAAAAAATAAATAAAAATAAAACTAACTTTATTTTTTCTATCTTAAGGAAATTCATGAAAATTCGTGAGGGTAGAAATGAGGGTAGAAATGAGGTTAGATCTAACCATCTACCCTAAACATTATTTTTGTTCATGGGCTATGCCCCGCCGCTTTGCGTCTTAATGTTAAAATAAATGGTACCATTAATGATATCATGACTGTTCTCGTTCATGTCTGATTTACATCTAATGAAAAAGTTTAGAAGAATTTTCTTATTCTTTCTGGCTTATTTTTATCTTTCCAGTACTCCCACTCTAATGGTCCCAGATGAGTTGGTTTAGATTCTCTCAAGTTCTTAGATGGTATAACATCTTCAACGCCTCCTTCATATCTTACTTTATAAGTGTCATCGTTTATGTTATAGCCAAGTATTTCAATAACCACTCCTCGCTTTGCTTCGTCAATGGTTTCAGCAAGTTTGCCATTACTACTTTCGACTAATTTATGTCGAGGGTAAAATGCAATGGAGTCGTCAGCAGCTTTTATAAGATATCCATTACCTTGCGTAGAGTCTACGATATAATAATTTCGACTTAACCTTAAACGTTTCTTTGTCAACGGTTTGTCGTCAAGAACTACACGAACTTTTGTACCAGGAATGAGGGTAAATTGTGTTGAATTTCTGATATTTTGTGTTTGGCTTCGTTTCTTTTGTATATACTTTTCTTCTTGTTGTTGTGTCATTGAATTTGGTGTATGTCCTGTTGTAGAATGTGTTGAGGAATTATATACTTCGAGAAAATGTTTCATTGTTTCTTCGGTAAAGTCTCACTCTTGGTTTAAATCTCTGAGCGTTCTTATGAAGCGGTTTATGATGCCGAGTATGTTGTGGTTATGGTCTTCAGTAGTGTAGTGAGTTATGTTATGCTTAATGAGAAATTCTGTGATTTCATTGCTGAGGGATGCACCGTCTTGGTCTGATGTTAAAGTACTTGGGTTATGTTCTGCTACAAACTTTTGTAAAACTCTTAACACTTCACGAGTTCCTTTATTTTTCATTGGATATGCATATGCTTTACGAGTGTTAACATTAATGAAAATCAAAAATGGTTTATGTCCTCCTTTTCTGCTTTGAATGAGAGTGTCAAATTGGTATGCGTCAGGAGTGTTGGAGTAAATTGGTAAAAAGTAGTCGTAAGGGTTTATTTTTGTTTGATGTACAACATTTTTGTCAAAGAACTTTTTAACTTCAGCTCTGTTAGTAAATCCCCAACTCTTTGCAGCTTCATTGAACTTCTTAAATGACCTCCATGGATGTTGTTCGAATACTTCTTTCAAGCTCATTTATGTAAAAATAAAGATTTTATTCAAGACGGTAAGCCTGCAAAGCAGGCTCAAGCGCGTTCAATGAACGCGGTACCATGCGAATACAGTCATAAATGGTGGCATATAATCTTCACCCGAGCCTGTTGAATTTGTTGTAAATGTATGTGTATGATTTCCTCCTGTTTCAGTTGGTCGAAAAGTCTTTTTTGCTGAATTGTTATAAGATGGAGATAAAACATCATTGCCAGCTTTATAGTCTGAGTTGTATAATGGGTGGTCTCTTAATGAGTGGCTATGGTCGCCAGAAAAGTTTGTAGTTCCTGTATGAGTGTGCGCAGGTAAGTTTGCTTCTTTAATTTTCTTTGAGCCTCCTGTTTGCTTTGAAGAGTTAGCACAGTATAAGAATTTATCTACAATCTGCTGCCAAGTACCAAAACCTAAAACACTTGCTGGATTTGTTGAGTTCATTGACGTATAAATAGAGCCTATAGGATATAATGTTTGAAGTATTTCAGTCTTTAATGTTTGAAGCTCTGTTTTGTCAGCTTTCTTATCATATAAATCTTGAGCAGTGAATTTAACATTATTTTCATCATCCATGACATAAACATTTTTACAGCTAATTTCTTTCTTCGTTGTTATGTTTTCATTCGATGTTAAACCTTGTGGAAAGTTAGGAGGTTTATAATATAAAGAATCTCCACCAGTTCCGCCAACAGTTCCTTCAATACTTTCTATAGCAACAGTTGAGAAGGAGTTATGTGTATGTTCTTTATCTGCTTTCTTATCTAACATTGCTGGTAGTTCATATGTTTCAAAGTTTCTGACATGACCTTCGATATTTATACATTTGTTATTTAAGGAGTTTAGTGTATCTTTTACGCTTGTACTTGGATTCTCTAAAGGTGCACTTAAACCAAGGGTATAGTTCAATATTATGTCGTCTGCTCTAACAGTAGTGAAGGATTCATGTGTATGATTTTTGTCAGCTTTACTATTTAATGTAGCTTGAAGTTCATTTATATCGGAGATATTGTGTTTATGAGATTTCAAAACTTTGTTCGTTGCGTCAAGTTCATCTTTGTCAGCTTTACTTTTAATAGCATCTTCAAAAGTTATTTTTGTCTTAACTCTCAACATAAATCTTGGTTCAACTAATACACCGTTAACAAAGAAGTATGAAGCATAAATTTCATTGTTATAACCAAATGCTTCTGGTGCTTTACCTGTGTCATACTGTACAGTACAACGTATGTCATAACCTTCAGCACGAATGAATTTATATCTTCTTTCATTAACATCTTCAGTGCTTATTTGTTCATCCTGTATTAAATATCCGTGGTAGTCCGTTATAATCTGTTCATCTGAACTTATATAATGAACATGGTTTTTATCTGCTTTTTCGGCTAATTTCTCTTCTATCTCATTTATTTCAAGTTCATGCCTACCACCACCTCCTTCAGAAGTATTTTTCTTCAGCTCTTGAAGAACATCCACTTCACCATCTTCGGTGTCAATAATGAGACTTTGAGTTAAAACCTTTCCTGTCTTAATGGATGTTTGTAAAACTTCTTCTTCACCGTGTTCGGGGTCATGGTCGTCATCATATCTTGTGAAATCAGAGATGTTGTCATACATTAAGCATATCTGTCTCAAAAGTTCTGCTATTTGAAACTGGAACGAAAGATATACAGAACTTTCATCATCTCCTAAAGTCAAGTCTGCTTTCTTAAGTATTTCTTGAATGTATGCAATGAGAACAGAGTACCTTGGAAAATATTCGAACAATATTTCATTAGCTGTTGGTTTTGGTGGTTCTTCTGGAGTTCTGTTGTTTCAGTTCCTTCTGTAGGTTCTGTTGGAGTTTCTGCATCTCTTGACTTCAATGCTCTTGCTCTCAAAGACCTAAATGTTAGAGCACCAGGTTTTACAAAGGACTTTATAAATGCTTTAATAGTTCCTGGTAAGTTATTGTTAGCATTAAGTAAGTTCCTTATGCTTCCATCATGTACGTCATAGCACTATGTAAAAATCTATACTTTTCTTGTAGTCAGCAATAGACTGACTGTGATTTTTTAAAGATTTGTCAATACCTTTAAGCCAATCTTCATGCATGTTGATACTGAGCCAAGAATATCATTTGCTTCCTTTAGTGTATTTTTGTGCTTCTCGTAAAGTATCCAATCCCGTACGTGCATTGTTTGCTATACGTCTTACAGTATCTATTTGACTCCTTGTTTCTTGCATCCAACCAGATAAAGTTTTAATAGTATCAGAACCATTTGAAATGAAGTTCAAAGCATTTTTAAAACGTCATCTAAAGCTTCTTCACCAAGTACTGCCATATCTTTCCGATTTGGTATTGAAGAACTCCATATGAAGCAGCTGTTAAACCAGTATTTATAAGGTTCCATATCCATGATTTAGCAGTTTTTCCATCCTTTCCATCTTCACCATCCAAACCGTTTTCGCCTTGAGGTCCTTGTATTCCTTGTATTCCTTGTGGTCCTTGAGGTCCAGTGTCACCCTTCTCTCCTTTCAGTTCATCTTTATGTTCATTATAATATTCTAATGTCATAAGGTGTACATCATTACTGCTACCAGCAACGCCGAGAATTTGTTTCTCATTCATGACTAAATTCTTTAGGCATTTAATGTTGTCGTCAAATCAAAAGCTCTTTAACAATTCAATGAGAACATTCAGTACTTTCACTAATGAGGCATCTACTGTTGCATTTATATATTGCACCGTTCCATCATTTATGATAGGAACTTTACTTATTGTAATGAATGGGTCATAAGTGTTAAAAGTATCGAAATCAATGACTTTTTTAGTTTTTCCATCGTCAATGACTAAATTGTTACCTTCCACTGTTAAAGTTGAGTTTTCATTTACTAGTTCATGTGCTCTTCTTGCTTCATTTGTTTCATACGCATATGCAGCAATAGTCATATTTTAATGAGAATAAAATGTTGTTCTATTTGCAAAGTACAGACCCGAATGAATACGGAATAGTAAAGCTACAAACAAACTTAGGTCTTCAGAATGAAGCACTTGCTTTCAGAGTTGTTGACTTCAATACTATCGCAACTTTTGTCATAACAGATGAAACAGATTTCATAGAGATTGAAATAGATGACAAAAGAAGTTTTATAACATTTCCTAACAGAGCAGAGTATAGAATAGATAAAATTGCTGGAGTCATAGATACTCTCATAAATGAAGAAACTATTGACAACATAGATGTCGAACTCTCTTCTGAGGGAACATTGAAGTTCAGCAGCGAGAAAGAGTTTAAGATACCAAGAATGAGTCATAGAGTTCAATTGCTTCTGGGAGCATACCATATGACATTTCCTTTGAAAAGTGTTGACAAAACGATTGAGATGAAATCTGTTCCATACGTATGTTATGGCAATTGTTTGTACATTGAGTCAAAAATAGCTAATGTCACAGGTATTTCAGGAGTTAATAGTAAAGGTTCAGTAGAATATAAGTCTTTCTGTTATGAAGTAAATTCAATGTTCATTCCAAACGTTCCTGTCATAGCAACTCATTTAGGTAAATGGGTTCGCATTAGTCCACATAATTTGAAAGACATGCAATTCAGACTTGTTGACTTTCAAGGAGAGCCTGTAGAACTGAAGGCACCAGTGCGAATGACTGTTGAAGTTGACTTTTTAGAAAATATTAAATGCAACAGCTTACAAGAGAACTCAGAGCTAAAATATAAAGTATGAATGTTATGTATTAGGTCATGAACTTTGGTTGTTGCTGTTTGATGAAACAAATGAGTTAGTTATGTCAGTCAAGAGAACAGAAAAATATTGTGTTAGTGAAAACTGCACCAAGTCAATAAGATTAGGTTTGCATTATGAAGATGAGTTCGATACTGTTGAAGAAGTTTTGGATAGATATTACAAATTGCTAACTTGAAATTTTTTGACTGACGGCGCAAAGCGCCAAGACCGAAGGTCCTGACTGCTTTAATTTACTAAAACATATTTCAAACAAAGCTTATAGTCAGTAGATAGTTTTGTATACTCGTTCGAATATCTATACTTAAACTCAACTCCTGTAGTTCCTGGTGTTTCAATGATGCGGATGTTACCTATGTTCATGAATATTGGCGTTTGACCACAGCATTCGATTTCGGGGTCGAGATAGTCAATGACACATTGCCTTCCTGTTATTCGTGATATAACATTTTCAAGGTCCTCCTTTGTTAGAATTATTTGGTTCTTGCTTATAAGATTTGTCAAAAGCTTCTTATCGTCTTTGAGTAAGATAGTTTGGTATAACTGAAGAAGGTAATGGTCTACGTTATCTGAAGGATTTGTTTGAACATTTGTGTAAGGATTGTCGTTGGCTTCTCTTGAAAGAATTTGGTCCAGTGGTGGATACTCTAACTTAACATCTGATGTAGCGTTAGCGTTTGAAGCTGAGTTTAAATTCACCGACTTAAGTTCTGGTTCTTTTTCTTTCAAACACTCTGAACTATAGTTCTTTATGACAATATTGTTTGTCGTTCGTGAGTCAACATTTGATGTTGGTTCAATTGGAACATTAACGGCACCAGCTAAGATGGATTTGCTTCTCATTTCATATAGAATAAAAACCTTTTATATGTATGAAATAAACAATATACTCGACAAGGGTTTGAATGTAAAGCTAACGAATGAAAATATTGTTGAATTCACTGAGACAGGTGCTGTGTATAAAGATGTAGAACTACTGAACAAAAGAGCTAAGGGAAGAAGCAGGAACATGAACAAAGGGTGGAAGCCTATAAAAATTTATGTCAATGATGGCTCAGGAGGTTCAAACATAAAGTATGCAGAAAGTTATAGAGTTTATGCTCTCAAAGGTGAAAAGCCTTCATTTAAGAACAGCTATTCTAACGCATATCCTCAAAAGCTAACGGATGGGGAAGTGGATGATATGAATGACAGCAAAAATATTAACAGAAATGGCGACAGAGATGCATGGAATTTGTTTACCATCAGTCAATTGAAGGTTAAACTTTAAAACAATGTTGGTCGTTCCCATGGAATATTTTTGACTTTAATGGTATTAGTCATGATATGAATCTCAAGGTATGAACGAGGAGAGATGAGAGACTTATATGCTTCCCAAATTTCTTCAAAAGGTAATGTTATACCTGACTGTTTCCAAATGAGTTCAATATCATAACGTGAGAAACCTTGAAAGATAACGAAGTCAGTTATGAGACGTTTTATGTTTAAAGCTAAAAACCTCCATGTTTGCATAAGTATTGCTACAGTTAAATGGTAATGTCTGACTTTAGTAATGATGTTAGCTAATGGTGAGTCTGGTTTTGAAACTAAACCTTTTCCGGCGAAGTCGTCGCAAACGAGCAGAGTGTTTGAAGGATATTTTTTGAAGGGGTATTTTGAAAGTTTTGATAGAATGTAGTTTGTAAGTCGTTTCATATCGTAAACTCCTGAGTACTGACGTAAGTGGTGTTTGTCAATAATTCTTTCCATCTCCTCAGAAGTCTTTTGCATTCCTGACTGTATAAATTCAACGATGGCATAATATTTCCTCTTACGTCGAATGTAACGTTGAAGAAATTCAATGAGTTCGCTATCTGGAACTTTAACGACAGAGGCTTGAACTTTTGACATAAATGTTTTCGCTGTTGAGTCCATAGAGTCTGAAGTTGCTGATATAATGATTTGGTCATAATATGAGTCATTTCCTAAACGTTCTGTTATGAGTATATGACGAATGAGGTTAAATGTCTTACCTGAACCCATCTTTCCACAATAGAAATACACACCATTTGAACAGAACTCATAGTCCTTACTGAAAGGAAGAATAAGAGAAGAGTTAAGTTTGTCTGTAGTTTCATTCATGTCTTCATCTACGTCATGTATTAAATGCTTCATTTTATCTCCATTAAAAATGCAAGTCAGAAATATTCAGAACATAGCACCGAGTCTAACTGACAAGAGTATAAAGATATACTATGAACACGTTATGATGAAACCTACCAAAATTCAAGAAAGTCAGTATACTTATGAATATCCAAGACACTGGGTAGAGTATGTAGGAGGTGAGAAAGCTATTGAAATCAGACAGGTTCGAAGTATTCCAGCAGGAAGAACAATATTATTGAAGAACTTTAATGTTTTGAGGTATAATGATGAAACAAAGAAGCAAGATAGTTTCCCTGTTGCTGTGTATGTGAACTTAGATACAGGAGATGACATGAAAGTTTTTAACACAAAGCTTCAAACGGTAGTGAGAGAACAACTGACTGCGGAAGGACATCCATTACCTTCAGAAGTTACCATAGCATATAATTTTGAAACAAACTCAATAGATTTTAAAGTCGTCTCTGCAAAGAAGTCAGGTTTTACATTTAATGAAGCAGATGTATATTCGAATGAAAACTTCAAAGCTATTGCATGGTTAGATAATGACGATTGCTTTAAGAAAATATTTAAATACAGTGACTCAACGATGTCAATAGATGACCTTCGTGGAATGTTACCATCGACGTTTACAGTTGAAGGTTCAGCAGGATTGCTTACAAGATTGTCAATTGGTGGTATTTGGTCTCGTGAGAACATTGTTATAAAATCCAGTATAAGTGAATTTGCTGAAGAATCTATATTATGTCTTTCAAACTATATGTATTCGCCGCCGAAGCATTATAGTATAACAAACTTTGTCAGTAAGTTTAACATAAGACTTGTCGAACCTTCTTCAATGAAAGATGTTGTGCTACCTAAAGATGGAAAGGATGGACTCATTATTGAGATGATTTTAATAGCATATTAAATGAGTTTGTTTTTGAAGGTCATTCATGATGAAATAACTGTTGTAGAAGATGTTAGCAATTGTTCAGACATTTTGAAGCGTATAGATGATATAAGAAATAAGTTAGATAGACCGCAAAGCGGTGAGGGCGAAGCCCGTGAGAACGTTTATGTTTCATTGACTTTCTCCAGTAACGAGAACTTTTATGAGATAATATTGAAGAGAGATGATTTTAATATGGTGTAAATGGTAACTTGGGCAGCTTTAGGCGCAATGGGAACAAAAGCATTAGCATTTGGAGCAAAAGCACTTGGAGCTTATGACGCAGTAAATAAAATGAGTGGAGGAAGGGTTTCAAAGACATTAGATGCAAATAAAGGAAAGATTGGAGGCTGGGTTGCAAAGAAGTTAAGATTAAATAAAATAAGGCTCATAAATAAAGCATCCAATTTGGTTGCGACTGAGTCAGAAAATGCTTTAGGAAAGGACGATGAGTTTGCAAAACACGCAAAAGACTTTAATGACCAGATGAAAGGTGAAACAATGCATTTAAATAGATTCGATGGAACTAAAGAAAATGTTTCTTCTCCACAACTTCCACCAGTGGTTTATCCATACGGACCTTATGGAATGTATGGAAACCCTTATGAACGACCATTTGACCCATTGACTGGTGGAAGTAATTGGTATCATTACGGACGAAGAAGAAAGACAGTCAAGTTGGAGACAGATGTTAAGAAAGCAACTAAAAAGAAACCAAGGAAGAGAGTTATAAAGCAATGAATTCAACAGGGTAGAAAAGACCCAAAGGGTCTCGCCGCTTAGCGGCTGAGGTTAGAAATCGGGTTAGATCTAACCATCTACCCTAAATTTATTTTTGTGCTATGTTTTCATACGTGTGAGGGTGGTGATATCATTAATTTTTAAGTTTATTTTTTATTTTATTTTTATTTTATTTTTATTTTATTTTTATATAAATGACAGAACAAAAGCAACTCATACAAATCGAAAAATATAACAAACATACATTTAAACATTTATTCTTCCTTCCTGAGTATAACATGTTCTTTACACTTCATCCTAGACCAGTAGATTATACATTGACTGTGTATAAAGATTGTCATGGTAGTTTTATAAAAACTTATGATGATGAAGGTAAGTTAACAAGACTATGCATTTCAAAACTTGAGAAACTTTATGACTTCAAGTATGACTACAATAGGGTTAACACTGATGATGAAGATATTGAAGAAAATTTATGAGAACGTTTATTTTTTCATTAGTGAGTTCGTTAGTGAGGTGAAGTGGTTGGCGGCTTTGTAAATATTTAAGGTTAAGCTAGTTTTGCGTTTGATTTGTAAAATATACGTTAATGGTTTTGTAAAGTGTCAAATTCACATATAATGGGTAAGGAGGCGCGCAGTGCCACCATACCCAACTAACCCATACTAACTTCCCTATCAATTCTTCCACTTGCAAAATGCTCATTGTCACTATCAAGATCTATCTGGCATTGGAATAAACATATATAACCATTATTAGCTCCAAAGAAATATTCATTACTCTGATTATTATTTTCAAAATAGCAATTATCAAAATTCATATTACCATTTTCACAGTATATCATTCCATGAAAATTAGAGTCAGTTCGATTTATTGTGTTATTTGTAAATATAATAAATGAATAATTTGCATGTTTATCATATTGACTAATAATTCTGAATTCGGCTTCATTTTGATATATTAATGAATAATTTATATTTCCTGATGCAGTGTTTATTGAAAATGCAGAGTTAGATTCTGCATAATTTTTTGTTAAATTGTTTTTTGAAAAAGAAATTTTACCATATTCTATTTTTATTCCATTTAATCCGATCTTGTTACCACAATTATTGCTAGATACGGATATTTCTGAAAAGAGATTTAAACCATCTTCCGTTGAATCTGTAATTTGTGCAAAAACAGTGCCAAGGTTTGATGAAGACCGCGACTCAATACTACATGACCTTTGTAATGCGCTATTCGCACAGTTTAATGTAATAGAACCTCCTTGATAGTTTTCCGTGTTTGAATTATTGATAAAAGTACATGAAGAAATCAGAGAACTTCCTTCTTTTGAATTAAGATATATTGCACCTGATTTTAAAGAAGAAAATGTTACTTTCCTCACATAAAAGTTCCCTGCACTTTGATTATAAAGCTTGCTCTCAGTATAAGCTTCTTGCACATTGCTATCTGAATGGTAAACATCTTGCCATTCACTTAAATGAAGAATGTCCCATAATATCATTACTATCGATAAGAATATGGATAGAGAAACCTTAAAAAATTTTGTATTGAAATTCAAAGACATTCAATTATATTTTTGATCGATTTGTAAGAAAATTTTCGTGAGAATCTTTATAAGTATGCATTATTATTTAAATATGTAACAAATAAAAAATTGATCCAATTTGAGATAAATGTAAATAAATGATCTAGATATATTGGTAATTGAATGATAAATTATTTTATCACAACAAATATCAATTTTAATTACTTCACTTATTTAAAAATAACAGTTTTCCCAAAATGATAAAATTCGAATTATCACATAATAAACATCATTTCGTTATAAAAAAGTCCATTGAAAAAAAGGACATTCAATTTAGATTGTCCTATTCAAAACTACATTGTAATCGTTTGAATACCTAACTTTTTTTAAAAAAAAACAAAAACTATTTAGTAAATATTAAACAATAAATAAAACATAATATTATTTTCACAAATAATCCAATGTAAACTATTGAAAAATTATTTTTTTTGAGAAAATTAAATTGCGCTGACTGTCAGACATCTTTTGTCAGAGAAATAAACAAAATTCATTGCATCCGAGAGCGATTTATCATCTAGTATCTTTGTTTCTCCCTTTGCAACAGTAATCATCAAAGAAACGTTGTCTTTCTGTATAATTTTCTTGATGATTTCAGTGATTGAACTGCAATTGTCATCAGAACCGACTTTAATCAGTTTCGCACATCTCATTGCGTCATCGAAGACTTTCATGTGGAAGATTGTACCCTTTGGAACGTTTCCTCCCATCAAAACAGACTCCATTTTGTTCACGTGTTGTTCCATGACCATGTTTTCGTATCCTTTCTGCCAGAGCCTCTGCGCCTTCTTCTTTGTTGCGTTTCCTTCCAATGGACTAAGTTTGCTCATGTCGATGTTGAAGATTTCGCAGAATTTAGGCATAGAAAAGGTCTGCGAAGGAGGATCAAACTTCTTGGACATGGAATCAATAATTTTAAGGATTTCGCTCGATGAAGCATCTTTTGGAATGTTCTGTGGCTCTGGAGATGGAATTCTTTGATCATAAACTTTCTTTTCTGTTGGTGCTTTTTGAGGTGTCACTTTTTGTATTGGTATTTTCTCTACTGGCACTTTTTGTTCCAAAATTTTTGTATCGTTTGGTATTTTTTGAGCTGTCACGTTTTAATCTGAAATTGATGATACTGGATTTTCAGGGATTTTCTCTTCTATTGGCTGAACAGGAGTAATTTGAGCGATTGGAACTGTTTCTGGTGATTTGATATCAGAAACAGGAATTACTTCTGTTGATGAATATTCCGTAGAGAGACTAGAAGCAGGGAACTCAACAGAACTCGAATCTGTCAATGGAGAAAGGTTTGAGTAGTTCGGAGTGAAAAACAGAGGAGAATTATCTGTCATTAAGTAAGGTCTCTGCTGCATGGAGATTTCGTAGGATGCAGCTGGTGGAGGAGTCTTAGAAATATAATTCCTTGTGTAAACATTTTCGAGTGGTTGGACACCTGGAGGAGGGGTGAAGTTGCTTGATTCCACTGAAATGTATTCTTGGGATGTCGAAATAGGCTTTGTCAAGTTATTTGCCGAGTGTCTGTGTTTCCTTTTCTCCATTGTTGCCAAAGATATCCTTGGCGCAGAGAGCCTTTCTGGTTTATCCTCTTCGTCAGAGTCAGAAACGTCAGACGTGTGTGTTGAATACTCTTTCTTCCTCCTCTTCGCTCTGAGGTCTCTGCAGTTGGCGTCTTTCGGCTTTGGCTCTGCCTTTTCGTATGTGTTTGGAGTTGGCGCTGGAATTATTTCTTCTTTGATCTTGAAATTTTCTTCTTTTGTCTCTTCTTTCGCCGCAGACGAGAACCAGTCGATGTTTGTGTTTCTCCAGTATCTGTCTATTGGTTTGTCGTCATCGTGCAGGTCGAAATTGTGCGAGAGATTCGCAATCCATGCTGTTGCGTAGTTCCTGTGGTTGATTCGGTCTGTTCCTCCGAAAACAAGGATTTCATCAGGTCCTATTGGCAGCATTGAGAATTTGGAGAGCGAAGGAGCGCTGTTGCCGAAAGATTTCACGTCATCGAGTTTAATCCATCGCTTTGTATCGATGATTTCTATTTCTTTCGAGCTGGAATCCTTTATACCGCCCTTAACAACCAAAAAGCGGCCAATTGAGATCGCTTTGTGCTCTGAGCGGGGATCTACGTTAGCTTTAAATCTCTGTGACCACTTGTTCTTCTTGAAATCGTATATCCATAAGTCACCCAAAAATTCTTCATGTCTCCCCCCAATTATGACCATACGGGAGTGTTTTCGGCCAATTAATGTTGCTGAGTGGCTGTATCTTGCTGGTGGGCTGATATTGTTAGGGGACTTGGCTACGATGTCAGTAAACATGTTGTTTTCGGGATCGTAAACGGAAATTTGGTCGGAAACTTCGCTTTCGGTTTTCTTCTTGTTTGAGAGCTTTCCGCCGAAGAAATAAAGCTTGTTTTCATAAGCGACGCATGAATGTCCGTATCTGCCGATTGGTTTTCCATTTACTGGCTTAACTCTGCTCCATTGCTTACTTGCGAGCCTGTAGACCCAAATATCTCTGTACACCTTGCCTGTCTTCTTGTTCAGACCGAAGCAAACGTACAAATCGTTCTTCAAAGCCGTAATTGTGTGGCATTCTCGAGCAGGAACCGGAGTTTCTTCGACAATCCACTGCTTTTCGGATATAATGAACTGTATGAGTGTGGATGTTGACTGGAAGAGGTTATTTATGCCTCCAAAGAAGAAACATGATCCGGTAAACAAACAACCATCATGGGACATGCGTTCTGACATGCCAGTGATGATTTCTAAGTCTGTCCAAGTAATAAACGGCTCCGAAATCTTCATTTCCTTGTACTTTTCCTCTAATGTTGAATGATAAACGTCAATCCAGTTCTGTTTGTCCGCATTTTCGAGGAATTGTATCTGGTAGTGCTCGCCCTGGAAGAATGTTGACAGGGAATTCAGCGCAGGAGTGTCATTTGCAAACTGGAAACGTAAAAGCTCCTGATTAATGATTGGAGTGTATTGCTTCTTCTTCTGGAAGCATAGTAGAATGATATCGTTGAATAAAAGAAGCTTTCCTTGGCCGGATTTTTTACTTATGATTCGGACATCCGCTTCCTCAATCAATTCACGGCCGTGCTCGATGATCAAGTACTTCGGGGGCATGCATGCTTGTATTTCTTGCATTTTGTTTAACGTTAAAACGCGATGAGAAATCGAATCAACGTGTTTGTTTACATCTGTCAGTTTTTGGAATGTAAAGTTGATGAATTCCTTTTCAGGATGGAAACTTGGAGTGAATTTGTCTAATTCTCTGAATAATAAAGGATATCTTGGGTATCTTTGTACAGGAGTGATGTAAAACGATAAGAATGAACGTCCATATGAATCAGGACATTTTTCTTCGATTTCTTTGAACTGTTTATCAACTGATTTTACAGATCTCTTCGCTTTGACCATATCATCAAGGGCTTTGTAAGCGGAGACGAATACCATTGCCTTTGTGAAGTTATCTAAGTGCTTGAGAAATACAAATGATAATTCAGAACTGAATTTAATTTCAATTTTTTTCAAATCTTCGAGAAAATCTGAATGAACTTTGTAAATTCCTTTGATTTCGCGAAATAGTTTGTGTAATTCTGACTCTTCAAATATTTTTGCCTTTTTAAACGCTGGTTGCCAATAATCTTCCAACATTTTTAAGCTATTTACGTATGATTCCTCTGTTTTAACGATTTCGGCTGTTATGTGATCGCGACCGCATATCTTTTTACGACCTGCATCGCCTACATTTATCGAAATGTGAAGTCTTTTATTTCTTGTTTGCTGAATGATAGGATATGCTTGATCTTCCAATGACAGGATCTTTCCGTCCATCGAAATCTTCTCATCCGAGAAATCGTAACCGAATTTTGCCCTAAAAGCAAGTAAAATATCTTCAACCTTTAATTTAGTCATTTCGGATATAGAGATTGGGACTGCTATTGGATCGATAGCTACATTCAGCTGAGTCTCTACTTCAACATAGAACCAATATTTACCATTTTGATTTAACGGAATTGCTTTAAAGTAGTACGGAGGTGGCTTATATTTATCAACTGGCCCTTCAATGCAGACTTCAGGATACAGTTTCAAAGGATTACAGTCCGTTTTTAGAATTTCTATAAAATTTGGATTATGAAACGCAATAACTGCGTCAGAAATTCCAATGTCTGATTGTATCTGGGCAACAGTCTTATTTATGTTATCAGCATAAGAAAGAACTGTAAGGGGACGCAGCCCATGCTGAACGTAAAAAGACATTGAAATATTTGGCATTCAATTTTATGATATTATAGAATATAGTAAGAAATAGCTTGATAATGCATTTTATAGAAATAATTATTGAATGGGTCATATCAATTTTCTTTGTTTTTGAGAATCGAACGTTTTACATTTTAAGATTATGACAATAATTTATTTTACTTTATTTCTAATTAATTTACATGCATTTATGATGATCTAGGAAAATAACTTTTCAGAAGATGTATTTTGTTGTTTTTTTTATAATTGGCCAAAATTCTTTTGCATTGTATAGCTCATATATCAAGGTTTACGGGAGTTCATTCGGTATTCACTTAAACTAATAGTTCAATCTTTTTTACGAGAATTGATCAAAAATTTCAAGCGTCATCGAACGAGATAAACAGGTCAGCAATCATATTATAGAGATTTAGGCATAATCCTTATGTAATGTTTTATTTATACTCTTCTTATCATCCCAAATCTCGAGTTTTATAACCTGATTCTAAAATATAAACGTCAAAGGAGGATAAAAATTTGTCTATCCTGAAACGAAAACTACATGCAAAATCTCAAGATATTTGCCTACGATACCAATAAATTCAAATGAGAGTGATTGTTTTATCGGCGCTTCACACCAATCAAATAATGACAAAAAATTTATGACTTTAAATGAAATCAGCCAAGCAACAAATCCAGAACCAGAACAGATAGATAAGATCATTGTCAATTTCATGGTAGGTTTGGATGACGGAAAATTACAAGATTTACTCAATGAAACAGTTGATTTAAGAATTTCCAACAAAATCCTTTTAGAAATATTAAAATCATTATTTAGAGAAATTTCTAAGCTCGATGAAACTCAACACCCAAGATCATATTTGACTTCTATCCGTTCTTTTTATGAATCCAAAAATATTTTCCAAGAACTTCAATCACAGTACTTGATTGAGCTTGCAAACGCTTACGAATCAGTCAATGGCTACGAAGAGGCTGCCAGATTAAGGGAAGACACAGAAAAACCAGAAGAAGAATTTGAAAATTTGGAATTTTATGAGCACATAGCTGAACTTTACTTATTGGCAAAGAATGAAGAAGAACTCAAGAAATCTCTCATGCAAGTAAACGGTAAAATCTTCAGATTAAGAACTCCACAAAAATATATCACCAAATTCGATAATATGAGAGGCAGATTATACGTTCTTCAGCATCAGTACCAAGAAGCGTACCGTGCCTTCATGATGGTTATTGCTTCTTCCGAAAGCGACGAAGTTAAAAATGAATATAAGAAACTTGCTGCAATTTGTGCATGTTTGAACATCAAGTCCAAGGATAACAAAGCCATTACAGCCCTCTACGAAGATCCAGACGTCAAGAAATACCCATTTTACAAATATATCGATTTAATCAGCAAAAAACAACTGATTGATCAAGCCGCTCGTGACGAATTCATCGAAGCTACAAAGGGATTCTTCGACGTTGACTTCAAAAACGATCTAGATAAGGCCTGTCTGCAACACAACTTAAAATATGCCGAAAAAATGTTTTCTTCGGTCAAATTCGAGAGACTTGCAGATTTAATTGGATTCGCACCAATCGAAACTGAGCAACAGATCAAAGACATGATAATTCGTCAACAAATTCACGCTGCGATCGATCAGGAGCTCAAAATCGTTATCTTTGACAACAAAATATCACAAAGCCAAGATGAATCAATCATTGAGTATTCAGATCTTGTTAACTCTGTAATCAAAGAAATTTAATTGTTAAATAAAAAATTAATATCATATTTCTTGTCATTTTTCATACGAATCTAAACATTTAACAACTTAACTATTTGGCAGATCCTTTGCTGATGATATTAAACGATATTTAAAATATATGATTTTTATTCAATCTTAATTTCAAGTTATATCTTTTATTACATTATCATTAAAAAAGAAATAGCTCAGTAAATGCACTTAATTTACCTCAAAATCCAAAATAAAACTCAATTCAAAACAATTTGCATCTTTCCAGTGAAATTTTATCATAGATAGTATATGATACTTATGGATTTTCATAATGCAATATGCATCATCATGCATATCCACAAAAGAATCTGAATATATTCTCTTCATCGATTCAAGTTATCCATTCGCTCTTTAATTTGAAATATAATACTCATAAAAGTTAAAAATAACTAATAATAAAGTGCATAAGTATTATTTTGCAAATATGTTTCTAGACTAAACTATTACCTCTCTTGCTAATGGAGATTATGAGCAGAACTTTAAGTTACTTCGGAAATGTTCCTCAAAGAGTCCAAATATACTTATTAAATCTACAGTTGAGGAAATTTATGGGAACACTGATAAAGATAATTGTTTTATTGATGCTAAGGAGACATTACAAACATTTACATTTGAGGATAATCCACAATTAAAGAAGATTCAGAAATATGCATTCTATAATTGCACTGCATTATTATCAATTGATTTATCTCAATGCACCAAACTTACAACAATCGATGGTAGTGCCTTCACTTACTGTAGAGCAGTAACAAGTGTAACCTTTCCTCCATCATTGATAGAAATTGGATATGGATGTATTAGATATACGAAAATCACAGAGTTATTTATTCCAAAATCCGTTAGTAAAATTGATTCATATGGATTTGGATCAAACACATTATTAAAACGTGTCACATTTGAAGAAGGATCTCAATTAGAAGAAATAAAAACTTATACATTTATCAATTCACAAATAACAGATTTTGAAGTCCCTCAGAATGTCTACATAATGTACGGAAGCGCATTCCATTATAATACTGTAATGAAAAGCATATCTGTTCACATATTAAATCCATATATGATATCAGATGAAAGAGGATTATATAGTTATAACAAAACAATTCTTTGGTACTGTTGCTCAGGATATACAGATGTTTATACGATAAAATCTGAGACAACTACATTAGAAATTGGCGCCTTTGTTCATTACCAAGGTCCAGGAGTAAATTTACCAAGTAATTTACAAATTATTAAATATCTTTGTTTTGCTTATTCAAAAATTACTGAAATAACAATGCCAGACACTGTGAAATCATTAGAAGGCTCAGTATTTTTGAATTGCAAGCAACTCACTCATGCAACATTATCTGAGAATATTTCAACAATTTATTCATACACTTTCCAATATTCTGGAATCCAATCAATGCATATTCCAAATAAAGCAAAAAATATTTACAAAGGTGCATTTAGCAGTTGTTTGAGTCTTGAAGATTTCTGGCTTTCATCTCCTTTGCCTAAATTCGATGGAGGTGTTTTCTCCTTGAGTCCGAACATAAAATTCAAGTCAGATGATGGCACAACACTTAACATCAATGAGGAGAACGTGGTGTTCAACAAAGACAATACTTCTGTCGTTGGATACTTTGGTTCTACTGAAGATATTATCCATTTACCAAATACTGTTAAGAAAATTGAAACAAGAGTTTTTATAGAAAAAGATAATATTAAAAAAGTTGTTTGTGATAATGGATGCCAACTTGAATCCATTGGAGAATACGCATTTCAAAATTGTATAAATTTACAAGTATTTCCGACTTTTTCCTTTGTGAAACAAATTGGATCTTATGCATTCAATGGCTGCGCTTTAAAGGTAGATTTAGATTTCTCAAGTCCTCTGACATTAATAGATGACTTTGCATTCGTAAACAATCAATATTTATCTAAGGTTTCTTTCGCATCTTCTTCACTTTTAAGAATAGGAAAATCCGCATTCAGAAATTGCCCAAATTTACAGAATTTAACTTTTGGTGGTACAGCAGAGATTAATCTTTCGGAATCATGTTTCCAATACTCCAGCAATCTAGAGAAACTAACCATCACCAATAAAGTACATTTAGCTTCTCTTTGTTTTAGTTCTTGCGGATTAAAAAATATCACTTTTGAAAATAATTATGTAAGTGATAAAACAATTCCAACTTTTTGTTTCAAAGGATGTACGAACTTAAGTGAAATCATTCTTCCAATAAACTGCGAGACAATTGAATTGGAGGCTTTCGCAGGAACTTCTCTAACACATGTTGTTGTTCCAAACAATATTTTAGTTCTTTCAAGACAATGCTTTAGAGATTGCGTTTATTTGAAGAATATTACGATTTCAGATGATTCCAGATTGACTAAAATAGAATACGCTGTATTCCAAGGTTGTTCTTCTTTCAGTTACGTCAATAGTTTCAACGCTCAAAACTTTTGCAGTGATAATGGAGCGATTTATACAAATACTAGAAACAGAATCATTGTTTATCCTCCAGCGAATAAAAATAAGTTTTTTGCTTTCTCAGATCAAGTAAAAGAAATTGAACAAAGCTCATTTATCGGATGCACAAACTTGGAAGTAATTTTGATTCCTGATAACAGTGTAGTTTCAATCGGTGAATCTGCTTTTAAAGATTGCATTAATTTGAAACAAATCAACATTCCAAAATCGGTGCAATCAATCGGCGCTGATGCGTTTAGTGGCTGTGATAACATTAGATGTGGTATTATTTTCGAAAATAAAACAGCTGAGTTTAAAGAGATGCTGAAGAATAGCGGCCTTCCTGCTATTGCTCTTTCAATTTGCAGTGGTGTTACTTGCAAAGCTCAAATTACAAGAACATTTAACTATTCACTGCTTTTTGTTTTTATTTTAATGTAAAAAATTGTGTTATTTAATGACTTTACATGAATACACATTCTTCTTTATTTATATATATAAAAAACAAATATCTAAAGAGATTTCTATATTTTCCCCTCACGTTGAAGTTTCTTAAAGAATATTTTTTCTGCATTTTCATATTTTTTCGTATATATCCATTGTCTGAATCTAATGTTTTTTACCAAAGAAATGGGTCTAAAATTCTCCGTTTCCCCAAATATAAACATAGCATTTTCTTTGCCCCCAATAAACAACAAAGGATCTTGATCATATTCACGAATAAAATTCTTGAATTCTCTTGAGTAGTCATGATATGTAAATGGAAAATATATGGAATCATTGCCGTAGGCTGGTTCCCAACGAAATGCGCTCCTCATATATTTATCACTATATTTAATTACAGGAGCATAAAACTTTTCAGAAAAATCTTCACCTTCTTTTCTATACTCATCAATGATTGACCAACGTCCTATCGCCGTTTTATTTTGAAATGAACCCTTTGGAATGAATGTAAGGCGATTTCTAGTCCAATCCTTGAATTGTGAGAGTTGAAATTGTACATCTGGTCTGTCCGGCTCCATGTTGTCAACAAAGAAAGTTTTAATATTATGCCATCGTCTTTTTCCTGTAATCTCTGTGATGTAATTTTCGACGCTGTTCTTGAATATATCTGTTTTTCCAAATCTATCATAATCTGTAAAAGGGCAATGAGTAAAAATAATTGCTATGTTATAAAAAATTTCATCTGTTTCAAATATTTCATAAAAAGCATTTAGATACTCTTTGTAAATATTCGAAAGCCTCTCAGTATGAAGAGGAATTACAAGACCTATTGCACTAACTCCAACATACTCTGATTCTATTGATTCGGAAATTTTTTCTATGTGGAACTTTGCATTGCTATATGATTCATTGTAGCCAGTTGAATCATATACGACTATACTTAAATCACCAAATTTAATCCAGCTTTTTGCGTTTTTAATAGTTTCATTAATATGATCAGTTGACTTTGGAAAAACCGGAGCATTCGAAAGTAGATTCCCGAACATTGTACATCCAGATCCAGCCTCACCAATCAAATACAATGCCGTGATGATGGTGAGATGATCTAGCATATATTAAATTGATTACTGAAATTCATATCAATAAAAAATCCAAAAAGTGATTTTTTTTAGATTATTTTGAGAGGGATCAAAATTTTCACCAGAATATCTCATCCTATAGATACACATCTTTAGAAATGATATTGGTCAAGTAAACAAAGATGTGTGCCATCTCAATTTTGAGAACTCTCTCAATTAATGTAAAAGTTTAAATACTCGATCTGGCCATCTTAAAAGATTCACACTGTTGTAAACAGAAATTCATCAAAAGTGACACCTCAGAAAAGCTAAAATATTGAATTTTTGGAACTTTTGATAGAGCACGTTTTTAAATATTAATTAAAGTAAATGTATATTTTGTAAAGATTCTTTTTAATAAAAAAATAAAATTTTGAAGAAGAACACAAAATCTTCTGAAAATAATATCACATAAACTCATATTATTTTCTAATATATAACTATTTTATATAAAAATCAAATTCAATGATCTTAAAAGCGAAGGATAAACCTCAAAATTTACGAATATAATGAGTGGGAATATAATGCTTATCTATCATAAAACCATATGAAATATCAATTTTTGCTTTACGCCTAATTTTTGACGACAAATTAGCAAAAATGTTAAATGTTAACACTCAGTCCATTTGAATATGAAAAATAAATTGACTTTGATTAAATGTTTTTATTTATCTGCAATTTCTTCTTGCAACCAAAGATTTGAATAAAATTTCAAAAAATAAGATAGCTTAAAAAATAATATACGGTAGTGTTTACTAATAGATGAATAGTATATAAATTCTATTAAAATGGATTTGATCCAAAAAAATATATAAAATTTGATCATAAATAAAATCGTTTTAAATTACTTCTTCATTTAAAGGTAGTCTCACGAGAAAACTGACGGTAAAAATTCGATGAAACCAGGTGCATTGTATAGTACATATATGTGGTAAATAAATGTCGATTAGCTTTGTAAAAAATATCCCACAGTTTTTGAGATCTTGAAAACGGCCATTCAAAAAGTCGAAAATTTTCGCGAGATGTTAATGGGCAAGACAGTTTTTCGACAAATAAATCGTAAACATGGGAATTAAAATAAGGCGTTATATTACATATATGGTAAAGAATATGGATGTGAAGAGCGTTAGTAGAATGGAAAGACTTTGAAATTTTAAAAAATTTATCTGGACTAAAAAATTATTTGATTATAAAAACATATTATATATCAATTGCTATATAGAACTATCATAACAGATTTTGGAAAAGCCGCAAATCCCCAAGTTGGAGAATTCATTAAATACTAATTATTCAGCTTTTTATCAGAAAGGAAGATAGTGTAGTGGTTGGGAACACTATGCTCTTTTTGAATCTAAAAGGCAACTGTTCAAATCATAACATCTTTGTTTTTTTTTCTTATTCTGCCATTATTGTTTTTCCTTGTTATGATTCAAATTAAAAATATTTTAGTAAAGGTATTTTGGACATCATTTTTTCACATTGTCTCAATGCAAATGTTTGAAAATTTTGTAGGCAATATGACAACTCTTTCAACATTTGTTCTCTTTTATTAACTCAAACAGATTTAGGATCTAATTTCATGCCTTCGAAGACATTTAAACCATCTTCAACATAATTTATTGACAAATTGATAACAATTACTCATGAATGTCGTAGATTTAATATCCTGTCACTCAGCAACAAATTCGGGTTCAATAACAAAGCTCAGTAAAAACTTTACAGAAATTCTCCAATTTATTTTAGTGTCTTTTTGCGTCATTACGGCTGCATTTTCTTCTGCATCTGAACGCTGTGTTTGGAAGAAGACGAAATACAGAAACTTTCAACACAAGTAATCAGATTTTCTTGTCTTTCATGTTAAAATGCTTCATCTCGCTAGGTATACGTCATTTATTGGATGGATTGTTAGCTTTGTGTCCAAATAGCAAAAAAAAAGTATTAATTTAAATTTCGCATTTTGCATAAGTATACGCTTTAATTTATATCAAAACAGATTTAGATAGCTTAAAACAATATAGTTTACTCATAAATACATCTTGATAATTCACTTCTTCAATTTTCATAATCTTATATCCTGACCTATATCCTCTTATAAACCATATTTCTACTGAGATCTTCTTAAAGCATCTTTTTATCCCTATCTACGCCTCGAAACCCTATTTTTCCGGCGGAATATGAATCTTCGGGTCTCGTTGATTCGATTTCTGCAGTCAGATCGTAAAAATGTTGCATGCTAAGTTCGGTCAAAATGTAAACCTCTCAATTTTATCGTCGGGGGAAGTAACTCAATTCCTTCAAAATTATTCTTTAAATATTGAATTTAAAGTTATTTAATTTGGATTATAAATAAATAGGCTAATACAATATTTAAAAATGAGAAAAAATAACTTTTCAAAGAACTTTTCATAATCTCAAAGAAAATTTTTTATTCAATTAATTATATAAATTAATTAACATTCATAATGAAATTGGATTTTTTTTATAAAAAATTGGTCCTACTTAACTTTTTGAGAGAATTTGGCTTTCTCGTAAACGAAAAAGGGATTTGACGGAGTCAAATCCCCGCTCACAAAAAGTGGACTTTACATGTCAAATTTTATATGCATGTAATGTCCACTTTTATGAGTTTTAGGAAGGAATTGGAAGCCATGAGTTACTGACATTGCATCAGTATCTCATAGCCTCCAATTCCTTCAAAAAATGGGAGAAACTTTGTCGAATAGTTTAACATTCGGACAAAGTTTCTCCCATTTTAAGAAGGAATTGGAGGGTAAGAGATATACCATATGAATGTATATCTCTTACCCTCCAATTCCTTCTAGAAAGTGTCCAAACTTTGGGTTAATTGCAAAGTATTAACCCAAAGTTTGGACACTTTCAAGTGGAGATGGAAGGCTTTGGGGTATATATTAATACAATATACCTCAAAGCCTTCCATCTCCACTACAAATGTGAGAAACTTTGTCCGAATAGTTTAACATTCGGACAAAGTTTCTCCCATCTTTCAATGTAATTGCTACCTGTGAGGTACTGACTTGAAGTCAGTGCTTCACAGGTAGCAATATCCAAAAATTTAAAAACATTTTATCAGTTCGTTAGAGAACTAGAGCCTCCTAGGTACTGAACCGAATCAGTGCCTAGGGGACTCTAGTGATCTATATAAATCTGAGAACTTTGAGGAAATTGTTCGACATTTCCTCAAAGTTTCTCAGCAATTTTAGCGAGGAATGTTCGTTATCGTGTAGATAATTTATAATATATACATAATAACAAACATTCCCGCTAAAAGATGTAAAATCTTATAAGAAATAATTGCAAAAGAATAACAAATTGCAACAAATTTTATATGAAACTGAACCTTATGAGGTAGTGATTCAAGATCACCGCCTCATAAGATTCAGTTTCAATCTCAAGTATCTCAAAAGTAAGGCTCTATTTTTGCCATGTAAAGTGTCACTTTTCTGTCCAAATGATAAGTTATTCAGAGAAAGTTTCCCAGCTATCAAGAGGGAATTGTTCCTTATGAGGTATATATTCATACTGTATACCTCATAAGGAACAATTCCCTCCTTAAAACGAGAAAACTTGTTCGAAATTGTTTATCATTTCGAACAAGTTTTCTCGTTTTAATAAGAAACTAAAGGCTATGAGGCACTGATTATATATTAGTGCCTCACAGCCTTTAGTTTCTATAGATAGCTGGGAAACTTTCTCCAAATGATAAGTTATTCAGAGAAAGTTTCCCAGCTATCAAGAGGGAATTGTTCCTTATGAGGTATATAGTTATAATGTATACCTCATAAGGAACAATTCCCTCATTAAAATCGTAGATATTTTTTACTTATTACTCATGCTTTCAAAATCACAATCCTCTGAAAAGTTATTTTTTATTAAGAATTTAGAATTTTGATAAATACCTTTTTTCAATTTGATATAATACTTATATATTTTCAAAAAGACATTTTGAAAAGATATCTCAAAAGTTCTCTGAAAACCTATTTTTGATTAATTTTGAGAAATATCCGTATTAAATTAATCAATAAATTCATTCAACACTACTTTAATTTTTAAATTCAAAAAATTATATGTGCTTCTTAAAATGTCTCACAAAAATTTTATTATAAAATTATATACAATATTAAAAATCCCACAACATTTTTTACTTTACATAATCGTACTTCCTCGACGATTAATTTCCCCTCAATTCCTATCGTTGACTGAACTTAGCATGCAACAAAAATACCCACTACATAGCCTGATAATCTCAATTTAAGTTCCTTAATTTTTTTGAAAAAAAAATGAAACTCCCTTATCAAACATCATGCTCATTTTTACGAATTTCATTTTTCCTTTAAGTTTAAAATATACGCTTTTTAGAATGTTTATAATACATTTTCAATTTACATTTACATTTTTATTTTTGAATTGTTTATTTATATTTCCGTTTGAACAATAATATTTATTGAAAATTGTGAGAGAAACGGATATAATAAAAAAACGCCATACAACAAAATTCACTTTTTTTCATACTTACGCGGATCACTCCTTTCCGGCCCAATATGCCGGAAATGATAAAACTCTCAGATCTAGTTGCTAAGATCCAAACTCTCGACTCTCAAATCTATTTCCTCAGATCTTGTTGCTAAGATCTACTTCCTCAGATCTTGTTGCTAAGATCTAAACTCTCGACTCTCAAATCTACTTCCTCAGATCTTGTTGCTAAGATCCAAACTCTCGACTCTCAAATCTATTTCCTCAGATCTTGTTGCTAAGATCCAAACTCTCGACTCTCAAATCTATTTCCTCAGATCTTGTTGCTAAGATCTAAACTCTCGACTCTCAAATCTACTTCCTCAGATCTTGTTGCTAAGATCTAAACTCTCGACTCTCAAATCTACTTCCTCAGATCTTGTTGCTAAGATCCAAACTCTCGACTCTCAAATCTACTTCCTCAGATCTTGTTGCTAAGATCTACTTCCTCAGATCTTGTTGCTAAGATCCAAACTCTCGACTCTCAAATCTACTTCCTCAGATCTTGTTGCTAAGATCCAAACTCTCGACTCTCAAATCTACTTCCTCAGATCTTGTTGCTAAGATCCAAACTCTCGACTCTCAAATCTACTTCCTCAGATCTTGTTGCTAAGATCCAAACTCTCGACTCTCAAATCTATTTCCTCAGATCTTGTTGCTAAGATCCAAACTCTCGACTCTCAAATCTATTTCCTCAGATCTTGTTGCTAAGATCTAAACTCTCGACTCTCAAATCTACTTCCTCAGATCTTGTTGCTAAGATCTAAACTCTCGACTCTCAAATCTACTTCCTCAGATCTTGTTGCTAAGATCTAAACTCTCGACTCTCAAATCTATTTCCTCAGATCTTGTTGCTAAGATCAAACTCTCGACTCTCAAATCTACTTCCTCAGATCTTGTTGCTAAGATCTAAACTCTCGACTCTCAAATCTACTTCCTCAGATCTTGTTGCTAAGATCTACTTCCTCAGATCTTGTTGCTAAGATCCAAACTCTCGACTCTCAAATCTACTTCCTCAGATCTTGTTGCTAAGATCTACTTCCTCAGATCTTGTTGCTAAGATCTAAACTCTCGACTCTCAAATCTATTTCCTCAGATCTTGTTGCTAAGATCTAAACTCTCGACTCTCAAATCTATTTCCTCAGATCTTGTTGCTAAGATCGATCTATTATACTCAATTTTACTTAAGCAATATAGATCACCTTTATTATGATTCTCTTTATCTGTACTTGTTTAAAATTAAATTACATCATAAAGATCTAATTACAAATTATTTAGAATTTTGAAATAAAACCAGTATTTTATCAAATGCTTTGAGATTAATGCATTCAAACTTAAAAAAAAAAGATATATTCAGATCAATTTCAATATTATTGATTTTTTAATGTAAAAACTATGTCTACATAGATCTCAAACAATTTTATTAGATACTCTTTTTCCCAATTTTTTTCAAAATCTCTTTTTACATATCAAAAATTGTATTTTTCAATTTCATTTTTATTTTTTCCATATTTTTTTTGGAATTTGGATATGCGTCCAAAGTAGTTATGTCATTAGAAAAATATTAGATATCTGAAGAGAAAATGATAACTTAGAGAGTTTTAAAGATTTTATTTTCGAATACAAATATAGACCTCAGAGGAATACATTCTAAATAAATTTGTATCTGAGGGTGAATAAATAAGAACAAAATTTAAAGGGTTAGCATAAATAATGTAGAAATTAAGATTGGAATTTAAATTTAATACAAAATTAAAGGGAATGAATTTGCGATTAGTAGGGTATGGCAAATGGATTGGGAAACATTGGTTACACATGAAAATTATCAGATGTAAGAATTTGGTGCAGATATTTTAAAAATGAGATCTGAGTGCTTAAACAATATCTCAAAATTCAAATTTTCCAAATGAAAATTTGGAAAATTCCCAAAATGCAGAATCAACTGATGATTTTCAATCATTAATAACGCCAATACAAGAAGATCATTTTCCTTCTGCCAACGAACTAAAACAATGGTTTGATATTGCCCATGATGTTTTAATTAGTCCGCCACCTGAGAATCAACATCCAGAAATTGATGAAGAAGAGACACAAAAAGCAATTTATCTATTACAAAACTTAGACTTTCCTAAGAAATAAAATTATTTAATTTATTCTTGTTTGTTTTTTAATTAAACATGTATATTTATTAACATTTCCTTTTTTAATACCTTTCCAACTTCTATTAGTAACAAACACATAACTAATTTGAAGATTTAGCGTTATGAAGAAGTATCCAAGTAATAACGTCAATAATGCATTTGCGATAGGATATAATTGCACCAAAGGTTAAAACTTGTATAAAGAATGAAAAATGAAATTTAATACAATTTTTTTTCGAAAAAAATCCATGCTTGGCTAGATTTTCATAGTTATTGAATATGCATTACTGACATCTTGTAAAAGATGCCGATCAAGGCTTTCAAGATTGCTAAATTTCTCGATTAAAATTTACATTTTTTTTTTATTTGTGTTTAATTACATTTTACAGTTTGCAGACTTACATAAAATCCGCAACATAGTGGTTATTTAATATTTGCCCCACAGTATTGTAGTTTGAAATTTACGATAAGATTATAATTGATAAAGTAAGGTTTTGTCATTAATGCATCTTATAAACTTTCATTGATAAATATGGATAGATAAGTTCTGTGTTCAAAAGTAAGCATTTTTTAAAACGCGCAATTATATCAAGAACGACTATCATAAATTCATGAGTATCGATGATTTTCGTTTAGGATGGACTTAATCGGCTTGATTGATATACATATTTTAAAATGGCATAGCTTTGTGCATGTTATGTCAAGCATTGTGCCAAACCAATTTAAAATGAAACAAATTATTTTAAAGAAACTATATATGAACTATTCGAACACTTTATATTAATGTAGGGAGCTATAAATTTAAATATTCTAAAAATTTATTTATTTGTTAAGAGTTCGGAACAAATTTATTATTGAATATATAGGAAATCAAATAATTATGCATAATCGCATAAAAAAATGCTGAAACAATGAAAAGAAAAAAATAGTTGCCCAATAGAAAAAGTCGAACCCACACCCCTGCCCATTGAGTTATCCTCACTTTCAAGTTTCGATCGAAAAAAAGGTATTTAATCGCGTAACTCGCACCGTTTAGTCGTATTTCGAAGTTCTATATAGTATTAAAGATTAAGTTACATTATGTACAAAATAACTTTTTATTGTTATTTGATTTTGATAGCATTATTAGCTGAATATGAAAAATCTCGTAGAAATAATCATTTCATTCAGACATAAGTATTGGATTGTTTCCCAACAAGCATAATAACACACGTTTCATATTATAATTTATTTCATTTCTGTACAAAATTTAGATAACGATATCAAATAAAAAAAACTGTGGCATTTTTTTACTTCAAACTATCATGAAGTGTAACCAAATTGGGTGAGTATTCTTGCTATCAGTATGACATGAAAAAGTGAACGACAAAAATTGAAGATATTGTAGTTAACTCGGATTTTTTTAATTGCAAATGTAATAAACAGAAATTCATCAAAAGTGACAGCTCTCAATTTTTTGACATTTGTAAATTCTAAATTGAATGAGAAAAATGAAATAATACTAAGCATAATACAATATTCTAGATTTAATTATAATTAGGAAAAAGTTAGTTTTGAGAGTACTTTTCATAGGCATATAGAATGAAATCTTCTGAAAAATAATATCACATAAACTCATATTATTTTCTAATATATAACTATTTTATATAAAAATCAAATTCAATGATCTTAAAAAGCGAAGGATAAACCTCAAAATTTACGAATATAATGAGTGGGAATAGGCGTAAAGCAAAAATTGATATTTCATATGGTTTTATGATAGATAAGCATTATATTCCCACTCATTATATTCGTAAATTTTGAGGTTTATCCTTCGCTTTTAAGATCATTGAATTTGATTTTTATATAAAATAGTTATATATTAGAAAATAATATGAGTTTATGTGATATTATTTTTCAGAAGATTTTGTGTTCTTCTTCAAAATTTTATTTTTTTATTAAAAAGAATCTTTACAAAATATACATTTACTTTAATTAATATTTAAAAACGTGCTCTATCAAAAGTTCCAAAAATTCAATATTTTAGCTTTTCTGAGGTGTCACTTTTGATGAATTTCTGTTTACAACACAAACACATCTATAATTTGTTTAAATATCATTTATTATATCAAAATCGAAAAATTCGTTTTTGGAAATCTTTGAATTTATGAGAAGTTCTACAAAGACACTTACAAATATAGCGTTTGCAATAAAAAGGCTCTTTAATCTTCTTCATCCTTGCTCAGAAACTTCTACTGGTTACCTTACGGGTAACCTGCAAAGCTGCTTCCAAGGCATCGGGAAAATAACGTATTTTCGTGAGACTACCTTTCTTCATTTAAATTATAACAATTATTTTTGGTTTTATATTTTTTTGGATCAAATCCATTTTAATAGAATTTATATACTATTCATCTATTAGTAAACACTACCGTATATTATTTTTTAAGCTATCTTATTTTTTGAAATTTTATTCAAATCTTTGGTTGCAAGAAGAATTGCATGATAAATAAAAACATTTAATCAAAGTCAATTTTATTTTTCATATTCAAATGGACTGAGTGTTAACATTTAACATTTTTTGCTAATTGTCGTCAAAAATTAGGCGTAAAGCAAAAATTGATATTTCATATGGTTTTATGATAGATAAGCATTATATTCCCACTCATTATATTCGTAAATTTTGAGGTTTATCCTTCGCTTTTAAGATCATTGAATTTGATTTTTATATAAAATAGTTATATATTAGAAAATAATATGAGTTTATGTGATATTATTTTTCAGAAGATTTCATTCTATATGCCTATGAAAAGTACTCTCAAAACTAACTTTTTCCTAATTATAATTAAATCTAGAATATTGTATTATGCTTAGTATTATTTCATTTTTCTCATTCAATTTAGAATTTACAAATGTCAAAAAATTGAGAGCTGTCACTTTTGATGAATTTCTGTTTATTACAACACGAATTTTTTATAGCATAATCTACTCACTTGAACTTATTCATGTATGTTAATAAAGGAATTTAAAGAGTCTACAATTTATGTAAACTGGTCTCAAATAATTTAATGCAACGAATTCAAAATGAAGGACCTACAATGTTAAAATTATACATGCAATTTTGGGATCAAAATTCAATGCGGGCTGACATTTTCTTTTTGAATAAAATTTTTAAACGAATTTTTTTTGTTATGCGCGGGAATGGTTCCATTATGGGGAATGGAAAGATCAAAGCGCATAATTCAGGATCTGGACTAAATGATATTAATAGTTCTTCTATAATTGACTCAGAAGAAGACTCAGAATACGAAAGATTAGCAGGGAAAAACAGTATTTCGAAATCTAGAAGCAGTAGTACTATGAAATCGGCATTGCAAATCGATGACGACGATGTTCTTTCATTTGAACAGTCAGCATCTTCAAAATTAGATTCAACTGATCCAAATAGTAATATAAATTTACGTTCAGCAAGTTCTCTTATTAAAACAATTGGAAAATACATCGATTTCGATGATGAATCAGGGTCTCCTTCCCATGAAAATACACAATCAAATAATAATTCAAGTAATTCGAAGAGCAAACTTAGTATTTTAGAACAAGCAAGGAGAAGTGGGTTATTAAATGAACCTCATCGAGAAAAAGTAAGTTTTGAAACTGATTCATCAAAATCTAAGAGCGATTCAACATCTCCAGATCAGCGTTCCAAAGCTGATATTAAAGATTCACCGAATACTTCGAAAAATTCAGTTGGATCAATGAATTCTTCAAATGATTTCAAAACTCCAGGGAAAAATCACTCTTCTATGCAAGGAAATTCATCGTTGGTATTTGATGATTCATTTGTCCAAGATAAATCAGCAATTCGAAAACAAAGTGATCTAGAAAATGACGAAAACTCAAATCTCTCATCAAAGGCGGAGTCATTTACTGATTCATTCGATTCATCTTTTATACAATCACCAAGAAATTCAACAGCAAAAGAAGAAAATTTAGATCCATTGCATGACGCATCAGAAATCAAAAAATCTCCGCCAGAAAGCAAAAATAAAGATTCTCCGGAGGATTCATTTAACTCTTCATTCATTTCTGGCCCAGAACAACAAAATTCCGGAAATCAGCATCTTGAAAGTAACATTCAGTCATTTATTTCATCATTTGGAGATGATTCAGCATCACATAAGTCTACAGAGAAGCCAAATATACCTGCTCTACCATTAAATTCCTCAAATAAAAAATCTGATGAAAATTCACAGAAAAATTCTGCCGATTTTGAGAGTCAGTCATCAAAAAAGTCTAACTCATCTAAAGGCAACAAGAAATCAGACACTTTTGATGATTCTTTTGTTTCAATTGAATCATCAAAATCGAAAACACCCAAAAAAGCAAGTTCTTTCGGAGATTCATTCAACGAAACAATTGGATTAACAAGTTCTAAGAAATCTAAACAAAAAGACTCATTTGAGGATTCCTTTGATTCAGTTCCTTCAAAAAAGTCATCGAACAAAGGAAAATCAGATAGTTTTGAAAGCGAAAAATCTTCAAAAGCTAAAAAAATTTCGACAAAAAGTGACACTTTTGATGAAAGTTTCATAAGTGAAATTTCCGCTGTGAAAAACAAAGAAGAAAACAGTTTTGACGACTCTTTCATTTCTACAAATTCAAAGAAAAGTCAAAAACCGAAAAGTGACAAAAGTGAAGTGAACAATAAGGTTGAAACAAGTTTTGACGATTCTTTCATTTCTACAAGTTCAAAGAAAAGTAATAAATCAAAAAGTGACAATAATAAAAAAGACAAAAGTGAAGTGAACAATAAAGTTGAAACCAGTTTTGATGATTCATTTATTTCCGAAATTTCAACCAAAAATGACAAAAGTGAAGTAAAAAATAAATCAGAAAACAGTTTCGACGACTCTTTTATTTCTACAAGTTCCAAGAAAACTCCTACAACTAAAAACAACAAAAGTAAAGTAAGTAACAAAGTTGAAACAAGTTTTGATGATTCTTTCATTTCTACAAGTTCCAAGAAAAGTAATAAATCAAACAAAAGTAATAAATCAAAGAAAGAAGAATCTAGTTTTGGAGATTCCAGTTTTGTTTCTTTTGCTTCTGAAGCGAAAAAGTCATCAGTAAGTTTCAATAAAAAATCATCTTCTTCATTTGAAAAAGGAGATGTTTCTAGTGCTTTCATCACTGAATCATCTAAAAATGATGAAAGTGACTTTATTTCAACTGTTAACTCAGAAAAGAAATCATCAACAGTAAATAATGATTCGGATGACTTCGTTTCAACAATTAAATCAGAAAAGAAATCATCAAACAACGAAAGTGACTTCATTTCTACCGAAAAAAGTGACAAAAACGAATCAGATGACTTTGTTTCTACAATTAAGTCAGAAAAGAAATCTTCTAATGAATCAGATGATTTTGTTTCTACAATTAAGTCAGAAAAGAAATCATCAAATGATGAAAGTGATTTTATTTCTACTGAAAAAAGTGACAAAAAGTCAGATAAAAGTCAGAAATCATCAAATGATGAAAGTGATTTTGTTTCCACAATTAAAAGTGAAAAGAAGTCAGGAAATAGTTCTGTTGAAGGAGAGAGTGATTTTATTTCAACTGTTAAAAGTGAGAAAAAGTCATATGATGATGATTTTGAGTCTATAATTAAATCAGAAGAAAATACAGAGTTGTTTAACGATTTAAGTGTTATTTCTCAACCTTCTGAATCATCAAATAAATCTGAAACAACAACTGACAGCGTTGATTTCATTTCTACAATTAAGTCAGAAAAGAAATCAGATGAAGATGATGATTTCGTCTCAACCATAAAATCAGAAAAGAAATCAAGTAATGACTCAGATGACTTTGTTTCGACAATTAAATCAGAGAAAAAGTCAAGTAATGACTCAGATGATTTTATTTCAACAATTAAAACAGAAGATAATTCAAAGAATGAATCTTCTGATTTTGTTTCGACAATTAAATCAGAAAAGAAATCAAGTAATGACTCAGATGATTTTATTTCAACAATGAAAACAGAAGATAATTCAAAGAATGAATCTTCTGATTTCGTTTCAACAATTAAAAGTGAAAAGAAATCATCAAACGATGAAAGCGACTTTGTTTCAACCATTAAATCAGAAAAGAAGTCATCAAATGACTCAGATGATTTCGTCTCTACAATCAAGTCAGAGAAGAATTCAAGTAATGGAGAAAGTGATTTTGTTTCAACAATAAAATCAGAGAAAAAGTCTTCTAATGATTCAGATGATTTCATCTCTACAATTAAAAGTGAAATAAAAAACGATGACGAAAGTGACTTTATTTCAACTATAAAGAGTGAAAAGAAATCATCAAATGACTCAGATGACTTCGTATCAACTATAAAATCAGAGAAGAAGTCAAGTAATGATTCAGATGATTTTGTTTCTACAATCAAAAGTGAAAAGAAATCATCAAATGAATCTTCTGATTTTGTTTCAACAATTAAGAGTGAAGTGAAGAATGATGATGAGTCAGATTTTGTTTCTACAATTAAGAGTGAACAAAAATCAGATGAAGATGACGAAGTTGACTTTGTTTCTACAATTAAATCAGAAAACAAATCAGAAGATGATGACGATGATTTCATTTCAACAATAAAATCGGAGAAACAATCAACTTCAGGAGATATAGACTTTGTTTCAACAATTCAAAGCGAAAAAACAAAAACAACTTCTGATTTTGTATCAACTATCAAAAGTGAAGTAAAAAGTGACGATGAAAGTGACTTTGTTTCTACAATTAAAAGTGAGAAAAATACAGAGGAAACAGATGATTTCATCTCAACAATTAAATCAGAAAAACAATCAACATCAGGAGATGTAGACTTTGTTTCAACAATTAAATCAGAAAAACCTTCTGATGACGATGATGACGAAGTTGATTTCGTTTCTACAATTAAATCTACTCCAAAAAGTGACAATTCAAGTGAATTCATTTCCGAGATTGTTTCTACACAAAACAAAGATGAATCAAGCGATTTCATTGCAACAATAAAAAGCGAAAGAAGGGTGGAAAGTGATGGATTTATTTCGACAAAGAAAACTTCAAGTGAATTCATTTCTACAATAAAATCAGAAAAAACTCAACCAGAAAGTGACTTCATTTCTACTATTAAAAGTGAGAAGAAATCATCAGATTCAGATTTTGTGTCTACTATTAAAAGTGAAGAAAAGAGTGATGATGAAAGCGACTTCATTTCTACTATTAAAAGTGAGAAGAAATCAAGTGAAAATTCTGATTTTATTTCGACTGTAAAAAGTGAAGAAAAAAGCGATGACTTTATATCAACAATTAAAAGTGATAAGAAAACAACAGAAGAATACAGTTCATTTATTTCAACTATAAAGAGTGAAAAGAAATCAAGTGAAGATTTCGATTCTTTTGTTTCTACTCCAAAATCATCAAAGAAAGGAGTAAGTTTTGTTTCTTCCTCCAAAAATTCTCCAGAAGAAAGTTTTGTTTCTTCTAAAAAAGATGATTTCGAAAGTGATTTTACTTCTGTAACATCAAAGAAATCTTCTAAACGTTCTAAAGAAGAACCAAATGACTTTACAAGTGATTTTACTTCTGTAACATCAAAGAAATCTTCTAAACGTTCTAAAGAAGAACCAAATGACTTTGAGAGTGATTTTACTTCTGTAGCATCAAAGAAATCTTCTAAACGATCTAAAGAAGAACCAAATGACTTTACAAGTGATTTTACTTCTGTCACTTCGAAATCAACGAAATCATCCAAGAAATTGAAAGAAGAAACAAATGATTTCGAAAGTGATTTTACATCATTTGCAAGTAAAACGCAGAAATCATCTAAAAAGGATGATTTTGAAAGTGATTTTACTTCTGTCACTTCAAAGAAATCATCAAAAAGATCAAAAGAAGAAACAAATAATTTCGAAAGTGATTTTGCTTCAGTTGAAACTAAATCAAAGAAATCATTTGAAGATGATTTTGAATCAACAATTAAATCGAAACAAGGAACAGAAGAATTAATTCTTAGTCCACAAAAAACTCCAAGAAGACACCATCAAAGGAAATCCATCGAAACTTCTCCTTTCAAAAGAGATGAAGAAATCCAAGCAAAGATGGAAACACCAAAGAAACATAAACACCATAAGAGGCCACTGCCTGATGTTGCTTTAACACCTCCACCTCGCGTTTTAAGAAATAGAGAAAGACTTTTACCTCTTCCAAGACAAAATTTGGCTGTAACTCCTCAAAAAGAGATGAATAACAACTACATCGATTTCATTAAGGAACAGAAGAGAAGATTACAAGAGATTTCAGATGCAGTTCAATCATCTAGACAACTTAGAGCAATGAGGGAAGCAAAGATTACTCGTATTAATTATGAAAACTTATGAATTTAATAATTTTATTTTGTTTGTTTGTAAATAATGTGTATATAATATTGAATCATTTTTGAATCTAAATTCAATTTCTTTGCGAATATTTTATTTCTCATGGTGTGGAAATCAACACAAAAAGTGAATTTGAAGAAACAGCAGCAAAATATAAGCATAAAAAACTTAGGAATTTCTACTTTAATATGGTCCAAATTATAAAGATAAAAAAGAATTCTAGAAAGCAGCTCTTCATGTTTACAAACGAAAATTTAATGAAGAAACATTTGAACTTCTTCTATCATATGTTGAAAATATCAAAAATGAATTTCTAAAAACAATTCTTCAATGAAGCATTAGAAGAATTTCTTCCTTTGCATGGTGCATATATCATTGAGAGAGATCAAGATGAAGCGACAGTATTACATGTTACTATATGTTATAATAGTAAAGAAATTAGTAGATCTATTGCATTCATTTTGTATAACTACCAATGAAAGAAGTAATTCTGGAAGAACAGCTCTTCATTCTGCATCAATTAACTAGTCAAGAAATAGCAGAACTGCTACTTTCGCATAGTACAGATATCAACGAAAAAGATAAGTTCAAAACATAATAACATTGAAGTTGAAAAAAAAAAACAGAAAATAGTTATTTAAAATAAACAAAAAGAGAGAACATATATATAATCATGTATAACAATTTCAATTTAAAACATTATTTCTCCGAAAGATTCAGAGCAAATGTCATCATAGCCAAAACAGCAGTCTAGAACAGAAATAACAAACAAACAAAAGTTACCAATGACTAAAGCTGCGCAGAATCCATCAAAAAGTCTACCAAATCTCGTATTTACGTAATTTGTTAAAATACTCTTGCATCCCGACTGATATTTAAATGGGCATTTGTCCAAAGCGTAGTGTGATGAGTTTTCCCATCCGCAGCACTCGTGATCAATCTGATAATATACATTTCCTTGGTTATTCGAAAACCAGACAGATTTGTGTGCATTTATAACGTTTTTAGTCGATGCTGTGAATACAACGTATATGATTGTTGATGCCAAAAAGAAGATATGAGTTGTAAAGAAATGTCCGCAACATGAAATAAAGAAGTACATATTGATAATAATGGTTAACACGATTATGACACCAATGCCCATTCCAAACATCGTTTTATATTTGATTTTTCCTGTTGCAAATGTCTCTGATCCGCTGAAATAAGTTAAACCACTGATAGTGGACGCTAGGAACATAACCAATGAAAATTCAACTAGAAATATGTTCACTATCAGAAATATACTGAAACAATGATTACCTTGACATAAAGGTCTTGGTACCATGAAAAAATTAAAAGTGACATTTATTGGTATATGATAATAAATATGTATTCATGATCAGTATAGAATAATAATCATTATTTGTATTGACGACTTCCTCATAAAAGATGTTTATCCCATATTTTCTCTAAGCTATGAGCAAACTGATTCAATAGCGGCCTCATACTGAAATATGGCAACAAAAATGTATATGTGATGAATTAGAATAGAAAAAAAACATGTTATATTATAAAAGTTGATCCTATTAATCATTTCTTGATGCTATAAGTGAACATATAGATTAGATTTGATATGTATAAAATATGGTAGATGTTATACAGCTAGAATAATGCTTCAATTGATATTATATTATTAAGATTTGAATACTCGATAATTGGTTGAAATATGATATGTATTACCTAGAAATAGCTAATCCAAACACTTTTTTTCCCTGAATAGAAAGCTCTTTCAGACAATAATTTACGAAAAGTTTCTAATAATTTAGTGAATAGGCATATATTAAGCTATTACAGCTATAAGTGTTGCATGCTAAGATCAGTCATAATGTAAACCTCTCAATTTTATTGTCGTGGGAAGTATCTCAATTCCTTCAAAAAATTGAAAAACTATTTAATTTTAAAAATATAATACTTTTAATTAGTTAATTAATTGGAGATATTTTTAAAAAATCACTTTTGATAATACTTTTGAGAACTTTAATTAAAAAAATATATTCAAAAATATCCAGGATATCAAGAGGGAATTGTTCCTTATGAGGTATATAGTTATGATGTATACCTCATAAGGAACAATTCCCTCCTTAAAATGAGAAAACTTGTTCGAAATTGTTTATCATTTCGAACAAGTTTTCTCGTTTTTAATAGGAAACTAAAGGCTATGAGGCACTGATTATATATTAGTGCCTCATAGCCTTTAGTTCCTAATAGATAGCTGGGGAACTTTCTCCAAATGATAAGTTATTCAGAGAAAGTTTCCCAGCTATCAAGAGGGAATTGTTCCTTATGAGGTATATAGTTATGATGTATACCTCATAAGGAACAATTCCCTCCTTAAAATCGTAGACATTTTTATACTTATTAATCAACCATTCAAAATCATATTCCTCTGAAAAGTTATTTTATTAAAAATTTAGAATTTTAATAAATATAGAGTTTGAATTTCATACAATACCGATATATTTTCAATAATGGAATTTGAAAACCATTCTCAAAAGTTCTCAGAAAACCTTTTTTTCATTAATTTTAAGAAATCTGAGTATTAAATTAAGTGATAAATTCGTTTGACACTACTTTAATTTTTAAATTCAAAAAATTATATGTGCTTCTTAAAATGACTCAAAAAAATTTTATTATAAAATAATATATAATATTAAAAATCCCACAACATTTTTTTACTTTACATAATCGTACTTCCTCGACGATTAATTTCCACTCAATTTCTATCGTTGACCGAACTTAGCATGCAACATAAGTACTTTCATCATGACTCATATATTGGTGCCTGAAAAAATATAAAATTAAACTTCTTCGTTTTTTCAAAGTCTATTAAACCTATGCATATATTTGGACTGAAAATTATGTAAACAGCCAATTTGGCCTATCCGAAAATTAAAAATATTAAAATAAAAAAATTTTTCGATATCGTATGTTTTATGTGAAATGTTTTTATATTTCTGTTAGAGTTCCTGATCCATCTTGACATCAACAATTGGCCTCCAATGAAGGCTTCCGTCAATAATGCGATCGAGGGCGTTGTTAAGCTTGTCAACTGACTCAACGAAAGCGCATTTGTCCTGTGTTCTGTGGTAGACCCAAATTCCCTTCTTGATGTAGTCGAGTTTAGATCCTGCTGGACAGGAAGCGAAAACGAACGGATCGTGCTGGAATTTTGTAGCAATCTTCTTGAATTCTTCATCTGGTTCGCCGGCCATGATGACGCAGTTCTTGTGCTTGTGGCAGATTTTTTCGAATTTTTCTTCTGTATCGATTGTCTCGATGTAGAGTCCCTTTGGCTTTGGTGTTGGTTTTGGTGTAGCTTCTGGGAGGGTTCCGTCAAAGAATTTGGCGATGAAGTTCTGAAGTACTGAGAAACTTGGTTTTCCATCGAAAATGCGGGATTTGTTGCCATCTCTTACAAGGACGGTTGGGAATGCTGTAACATTGAACATGTCTTTCTTTTCTGAGTTGAGAGCATGGCCGATTTTGATTCCATCCTGGTTATCGTAGAAGCTGTTGGAAATAGCAGCCCACATTGGTGGAACCTGGCCCTTGTTTGTAAATAGGATGGCTTCCTTATCGGATCTTTCGGCCCATGTTTCGTCGATTTCGTTTGAATTATTTGGAATGTATTTGGCAGCTGCATTGCAAAAGCCGCGTGTTGAACGCTCACCATTGTAGACTTTGTAGCCATCTGGATAGAAGATGATAAATGTTGGGATATAGCGAATTCCAAATGGTGCTGCGATATCGCTGTATTTCTGTGTATCAAGAGAACCGAAACGGACCATTCCGTGAGATTGTTCAGCAGCTTCTGCAAAGTATGGAGCTGCTTGACGGCATGCTGGGCAATAACCAGCCTGGAAGTCTACGATCCAAACTGTTCTGTTATTGCGTTTCTCGACGAGTTTCTTCCATGTTTGTGATGTAAGTTCAGTAACAAACTTGCCACCTCTGGAAATACAGAATGTGGATAGAAGAGAGAGCATTGTCACTTTTTTGACTTTAGGATTTTTTTGATTGTTTGGTCTCATTCATCTTTTGACCGAACAACTTATATATCTCGACTTTATCTCACGGCTGATTAGTATGGTTATGGTAAGATATGTTAATACAACTGTGCCGTTTTCGATTTCGTGAATTCTGACAAAAAAAGTAGTATATGATGCGGGTTGTGTGACTTTTTTTGTAATCGTAAGAATTCTCACATAATTGAATGATTTTTGAACATACTTCCGAATAGCAGATTTTAAAAATTTATGAATAATTTATAAAAAGTTTTTATTCCTACAATTCCTATATTACCATTAATAAAAAGAATATATTTTATAATAGTTTCATTTCGAACATGTTAAAATTTATCTGCATTTCGAAAAATTTTATTATAAATGATAATATAATTTATTAAATTAATATATAACTTATGAATTTTTACTTTTTGTATGAAATAAAATTTAGTATTAATAAAGTTATAAAATAAATTGGTGCATGTTAGATGTAAATAAGATATAAAAAAGGTGTTTATGAATACTTTAGCAGAACTTCTACTGGTAGAGTTTATACTGGCAGAATTTCTACTGGTAGAGTTTATACTGGCAGAACTTCTACTGGCAGAACTTCTACTGGTAGAGTTTATACTGGCAGAACTTCTACTGTTTCCCTCAAAATTGAATACTTTAGCAGAACTTCTACTGGTAGAGTTTATACTGGCAGAACTTCTACTGGTAGAGTTTATACTGGCAGAACTTCTACTGGTAGAGTTTATACTGGCAGAACTTCTACTGGTAGAGTTTATACTGGCAGAACTTCTACTGGCAGAACTTCTACTGGTAGAGTTTATACTGGCAGAACTTCTACTGTTTCCCTCAAAATTGAATACTTTAGCAGAACTTCTACTGGTAGAGTTTATACTGGCAGAACTTCTACTGGTAGAGTTTATACTGGCAGAACTTCTACTGGTAGAGTTTATACTGGCAGAACTTCTACTAGTAAAGTTTCTACTGGTAGAACTTCTACTGGCAGAATTTCTACTGGTTATATATGGTGTCAATTTTTTAAAAAATTTTGAATTCAATGAGTTATATCAAAAATAAAATTCTTGAATAGAGTAAAAAAATTTAAATAATTTATTTAAATATTTTCTTCTGACATTTTTGAATAATTTATTTTTTTAATTCGTAAGAAAATGAGTGGATCAAGATTCGTAACCGTCAATCAATTAATGGATGCTCTTTCACCAATTCTTGAAAATGTTAAACAAGTAGATGTTTATTTCGATGATTATGTAGAAAGTTTATATTATAAAGGTAAACATAATATTAAACCCATTGCTTTTGCATTTGATAATAAATTAATTGAAAATGCAAAAATTTGGAAATTAATTCCAGATATTGAATATATAACGAATATAACTAATAAATGGTTCAAACGAATTCCAACCACAAAAGTTCTTTGTAAATTAATGATCAAAACCGAGGCCAAAGAATTTCATGAATTTACATATCATCCAAATAAAGTTTCAGAACTAGAAAATGAAAAACTTCAGAAAAAATTAAACGATAGACTTTCAAATGATCGTATTGAAAAAATAAATAAACTAGCAGAAGTTGCATTTAATAATGAAATATTTGATGAATATAACCTTGAACTCAGTGATGGGCTTTAAGGACTCGGGCTCAACGAGTCATGATTTATGAAATCAATAATTTGATTTATTCTCTTCAATAATTTCTATTCTTTTTGTTAAATCATCTATTTTCATTAATGAGGTGATTCTTGATTGAGGAATAGATTTCAAACTAACCACTCCTTTTATTTTTGAAATTTTGAATCCATCAACTTTAAACATTTTATTCAATTTACACGTTGTCAATTCTTCAAATAATTTTTTATTATTAGCATAATAGTCATTAAATTCTTCAACAGATGAAAAAATTTTTATTTCAGTAATTGGTTTAACAACGTTTATTTTTTGTTGAACATTTTCACTTTCATTTATTTCTTCCTCCTCTGTTTCATTTATTTTTAAAATGGTTTCATTTATCATTAAATAAAAATTAGAATATAAGTGATGAAATATATTTTTTAATTAATATTAAATCAGAAATGGCGGCAGGATTCTTTAAAAAATTATGGGAGGAATTAAGAAAGCTGCGGGTTGGGTTCATCAAAAGATTATTAAACCCGTTGCAAACTTTTTGGCACCAGTAGCGAAAACGGCAGGAACTATCATAGGTGGAGTATTAGGTACTAAAGCAGGTAATCCGGCGATGGGAGCACAAGCAGGTAACGCAGTTGGTGGAATAGCTGAAGGAATACTTAATAAAATAGGAGGTAGATAGTGGAAAAATAAATAAATATTATTTTTATCTTAGTATCGGTTGAAGTCTTTGATAAACTTTTTCTCCTTTATTTAATATTTCTCTTATTGGGGCAGCTTTTGGTTATTGATTCAGCAACGTCACTAATTGCTTCTTTATTCTTAAATATCCAATTTGCCCTTCTTCAATGTTTCCCAAACTTTATGCGCTCCTCTTTTTACTTATCCCATAATTTTTAAAGAATCCTGCAGCCATAGTTGATTATTTCATTAAAATTAAAAATTCATTTTCATCTTTTAATTTTGATTTTTTATTTATTAATAAATGACGACTAACTATTTGGTGCCAAACACTAAACCGATTAATGGAAATGTATTTCATTCATTCGAAAAGATAAATGAAATATTCGCAAAGAATGACGGTAGAAGATATTATAGAGAACTTGAAAGTTCATGCTATGACTCTGATGCTCCATATTTTGATGATAAACAAACTCATTTAAGAATTACAAATCCGGCTCATGATGTGAACCAATTAGGTGACACATATATTAAACGCAAAGTTAAAGCAACTCTAGTTTCAAATAAAGCTTTCACATGTGATGCCGCTTTTAAATGCATGCGTTTATTCGTTGGTTACAAATCATCAAATCAAAGCTTTAAACAATTAGAAGTAGAAACCGAAAGAGGTGATGCCGGTTATCTTCAGATGGATTGCGCCCGTGAATCTTTCGCATTTGCAACATATAAACCAAAATCAGAAAGGAAAGTTAAAAAGTTTGTTCATTCGTTATATAATAATGTTCAAAAATATGATAACTCAGTATGTGGTAAATATATTGACCCTTCAGAAGTTTTCAAGAAGCAAATGAAGAAGTTGATGTCACTTTTGATATGATTATTCCGGTAAATGATTTGTTAGCATTTCAGGCGTTCGATGATTATCCTAAATCATTTGGTGATATCATTCTTAAATATTATGTTTTCAGGGATACTTTAGTATTTTGTCAGGTTGACCCGTTAAGAGTTGCTGATTTACAAAATTACGTTTATGAAAAGATAACTGATGAAAATTATGAAAAGATTATGAATCATGTTTATAAATATGATCGCAAATTCCAACAAATCGGACTTCCTACCAAATTAATTACAAGCTTAGCCGCTACATCTGCTGACGCAACAGTTGATAACGTTATTATTTCATGCACAAAGATGGAAGTTTTAGAGGATAAATGCATTACACCAGGATACGGTTTAATTGAAGAATCAGTTAAAGCAATACCACGTTTATTCAGTAAGGAAGATCCATTCATGATTCCAGCTCAACATATTGACGTTCGTTCACTAAATGGAGGTTGCATCACTCCTGAAGGTATCAGCTCAGATTTCTCATACGCTCTTCATAATGTTACAGATGTTGTGTTAACATTTCCGAAGAATGCAATGCAAAGAACAGTTTTAGAAAATCCAATGCTTCGAGGTCTTCAGGTCACTATAGATTCCAGAAACTTCCCCGATCAAGCGATGACCACAGTGGGTGACATATTCTTTACACGTATGCTTCAAGCTTCTGATTTAGATGGAGTGAATGAATGCACAGAAGAATACGAGGACTCATTAACTAGACCACTGAATGATGATAATGGCACACCATTAGCTAGAACATGGAAAGACCAAACTTCATTCTTATGCACTATTCCAGTTCAACGTGATGGAGCGGGTATATTCTTTGATGGATTAGAAACTTTCAATTCACAAGTTACAGTACAAGTGAAAGCTTATCCAATCATTCAGGGTGAAAATGACACTTACTGTTCAAAGGTGACAAATCCTCCTCAGGTTTGGTTTACTAGGACTACATATTGGACATGGACACCAGATGAAGGTTTGAAATATCATCCAACAGGTACACCACCACAGTATAGAAGTTCATATGATGAAATATTGATGAATAGAAATGTTTAAAATTATAAATTTATTTTTGATTAAATGGATTTCAATTCTGAAGAATTAACAGATGTATATAATACCTACATAGATGATATGATTAATGAAGCATTGAGTGATAATAGAAATGCTCTATCTAAGGAAAAATTAATGAAAATTCCATATTCTGAATGTTATTTAAATTCAATCACTGCAGCAATTGGTAAACAGAATAAGGGTAAAACATTAACGATATTAAAACAAATTATCATTATTGCTAACACTTCCCCCTATTCACATGTGTTAATTTATATCAACCGTTCAGGTTCACCTTCAGATGATACATTTGAATCTTTAAAGCATTTAATCAAAATTCCAATTATTTATTTATCACAAGAAGAAGCAGAAGATTATTTAAAAAACTTTTTAATGTATAAAGAATTATATAATACAATCAAGAAGCAAGGATTAGAGGATAAAATTATTGATAAACAAAGGGATGAATTATTTGAAACACTTTCTATTTCAAATTTTGATAAAGAATTTTTGCATTCACTATAGGGTGTCCAAAGGTGTGTTTAGCACAAACCTGAATACTGCGAATAGAAATAAACAAGTTACATATATATAAAGTTTATTTAAATATAATCACCATTGGATTCAATCACGCGTTCGCAGCGATCGATCCAGGCTTGAAAGACACGCTTTAAATCATCATGAGAAAATTGCTCAAATTGCTCTCTTACAAAATTTTCAAGATCATCTGGACTCGCGAATTCGCGTCCTTCAGCTCTCTTTTTTAGCGTGCCGAATAAATAAAAGTCAGAGGGTGCAATATCAGGTGAATAAATTGGGTTTGGAACAACTTTGACATTGTTTTCCAACAAGTAATTCATTACCTTATGACTTTTGTGAACTCTTGAATTATCAAAATGAATTGCAAACTTTTGTTTTTGTTGTTTGGATTTCTCAAACTCATCAGAATTGATAATTTGAGTAAGAACATTGTCAATTAGATACTGAGCATTCATCGTATTAGGTTTTTGAAGAATATCAATTGCGATGATGCCATTCACGCCCCAAAAAACCGACAACATCATCATTGGTGTGTCAATTTTTTTCTTCGGGAATGTTTGCGGATTTTCATCCTTCGGGATCCACATGATTTTGGCTTCTGTTGCATATTGAAACCAAGACTCGTCCCCTGTTACTAAAAGCGAAACTTCTTGGATTGATACGCACCCAATATAGAGAGGAGCTCTTTCGAAGATTGGACTCTAGATTTTTTTTGAACTGAATTAAGGTTGTGCGGAACCCAACGTGTATACGCTAGTTTGTAGTTCAAATAATTGTGCAGATAATAACTGACTGTTGTACGTGGTATCTGTGTCATCTCCTCTATCCTTCTGAGTGATGCTCTTGGGTCTTCATCTAGCGCTTGAAGAATTGCTTTGATTTTTCTTTGATCCGGCGATTTTTTGTCAATTTTTATGATGGGCGCCTTTTTGTTCATGAAGTGATACATCCTAACATGATACGTTACAGTGGAATAGCTAGGAGCATCCATACCGAAGCATTTTACCAAGGTCTCGTAAATTTTTTTACAGTCTTTGCATTTTTTTGCAAGAGCGAGGATGTTTTCTTTATGATTCATTAAAAAAATGAAAAAAATCCCGCCAAAATTTCCCGCGAAACCGCCTCTTGTCTCAAAATTCATTTTATATCCCGGCATGGCGCCAAAATACAACATACTCATCATATACATATATTCATATTTTTTATTATATATTTATAATCAGCATATATCTCCTTTAATAGTCTCATATAGAGCGCTGTGCTAAACGCACCTTTGGACACCCTATAATTTTTCTAGATGATGCCGTGAAATCAAAACTAATAACAAATGAGAAATCATATTTTAATCAGTTATTAACTCAATGTCGACACATTCAGTGTTCATTCTTCATGGCTGTTCAATACTTCAAAGCATTAAGCACAAACATTAAATCAAATCTATCAACACTTTTCATTTTCAGTGGGTTTAGTCGTCAACAGTTGAACGTTATGCTTTATCAAGTGAATTTACCAATGAGCATTAATGAACTTTACACACAATATCAGCAATTAGGTGAACATGGAAAAATAATAGTTGATTTAAATAAAGGAGGTGTTAAATTTGATTAACTTTTTATAATTAATTTTTATTTTTTATTTATAATTAAACATGACAGAAATAGCAAATCTTCTACAGGTTCCATTAAAACAAGGGACAAACAAAAAGGGTGCATATAATAGAACTATGAAAGTTCCTGATGGAATGAAAGAATTAGTTCATATTGTTGCTGGTCTTCAAAAGGATGTTAAACAAATGAGAAACGTTTTAACATTACCAGAAGCTCAAGCATATGCCAAACGTCATGGACCAAATTGGGAAGCACATGAAGCAGACATTACAGGACCAAATGGAAAGCCTGATGGTATAAATGAAGTTTTCGTTACTGATGGTCAAGGAAATATTAAAGTCATAAATGGTTATAAATTAACTATGTCTGATTATCCTAAACGTAAAGCATATAATGAACGTTATCCTATGCAATTTGATGAAAATGGAAAAGCTGTTAAACAACATATCGGAGACAGTAAAGATGGACCAATTCTTTCATACCGTCGTAATCCATATTCTTATTTCAATGAAGAATTAAACGCTATTGAAGAAGGACCAAACGGATTACCACGATATGTTAATCAGTTTGATGGTCAATATGCAAATTTGAGACCTGAAATTCCAGCTAAGAAATTCTTTAAAGTTGCTTTATTCGATCCAGTGTTCAATGAACAGAAAGAAGCAATGAAAGCAGAATTTAAACCAATTCAAGTGGCAAGAATTTCTTCATCTTCACTTTCAGAAGCGTTCAAGGAATTGATAAAGAAACCACTTTATTCTCAACAAGGTTATAACTTTGATTTAATTAAAGAAAGTGATAGACGTAAATTAGAAAAATCAGATGGTTTTAAGAATGCATGTAATGAAATGATTAAAGATATTGTAAATGATAAAATAAGACTGGAAGAAACTCAAAGCAATATCAATAACATAATTGGTGCAGTTACAAAGAAAGTATAAGCAAACAATGATGAACCTTGGGATATTACCGTAACAACTAAATAAAACTTTAAATATATTTTTCTTTTTTTTATTCAATTATAAATGAGAAGACGTTTCACAAGTCAAAAGAACACAAACGCAAAAGCAGAGATTACGGTTGGTTATAACGTAAATGATGATAAATCACGAATTATTCAAAATGTTAAAGTTAATGTTAGTCCTGAATTAACAAGGTCAGCAACTCAACCAAATTTATTAACTCGTGACTTACCGAAAAAGGAGGAGGAGCAAAATAAAGAAGATGAAGACCCAATCATTTTATCTGAACCCGGTAAAGAACCCGTTGAAATTCCCACTTATCCAACATACCCCCGCCTCTTTCATCAAACATCGAGAACCCAGGAATCTACGATTCCAGTCGCAATGCGCCATATAAAATAGACATTAATTCAGAATTAATGAAAATTTACCGTGATATAATAATTAATAATTATGATTCAATAATGAATTTAATTGACCAATCCGGTTTAATTATTTTACCTTATGAATCATTAATTCACATTATCGCCATTCTTTGTGATGTTCAAGATTCAGACGTTAAGATTCAATTTTTCATAGATGATGAGGTTTCATGCTGCGGAACAGTTGCAAAAATAAATCCTATAAAGGATATTAGCACAATTAAGATATCAAAGAACGGAGCAACAACTGAACTACATTTAACTTATAATAACATATACAATAAAATAGTTGATGAATATAAAATATCACTTGAAAAATTCTTTGTTAAGGCTATTTAATATTCAAGCATTAACATTATTGAATAATAATCCTTTGAATCATAATCGATAATAATTGACCTTTCACCAGTTTCTATCGTTTGTTTTATTTCTTTTTGTTCCCCACTATCCGGATCGGTCATTGTAATTGTTTTTGTTATAGTATCAGCTTTATCTTTAACTTCAATCTTTTTTCCATCGGGATATTTAAACCAAAATTCCAAAAATTCGATATTGTCAATCTGTTCATATTTTAATCTATCAATTACATTTTTAATACCATCTGAAAATCTTATGAAATGGTCATTATATGGGTTTGATTGAACTAAATTTGAATGAAGTGAAATATAACCTGTTGATGAATATGACATTGACTCATATTTTCTGAAAACACTAAAATTTATAACATGAATGAATTTCTTATTCGTTGAATTTATGAATTCTTGAGGTAATCTTATTCTAGTTTTATTTATCACTGGAAAATAACGCTTTACCATATTTTTAATCGTAATAAAAATGTCAATTATCAATATTATTTCGAATAATAACTGTGAATTAAATTTAACAGTTAGCGGAATTTATAATGTTACTCTCGTTTCTGTGAGTGGTAAATTTAATCCCATTCTTTTAGACCCTTCAGATTATATATCATTTATTAAAGATGACCATGAAAAAACGTATGATATGTATATAAATAATGTGATAGCGAAATGGGATATTAACATGATTTTAAGTTATTTAAATGAATCATTTATCGTATGGTATGAAGAAAATTTTAAATCAAAACCTGATAAACTTTTTGAACTTGATGAAATAAATAACCTTATTAAATTCCCGCTGAAATTAAATTTTGTACTCCCCATCTTCGTTCATTGTTGGGGATATTAAATTTTGAAAAAGATGTTGGGGATGTTTTGTATTCTGACACTGGTTCCAATTTCATTTTAATCAAATGTGATAAGGTTAATACCCCAATGAGATTTTCACATCAAACATTAGACCCTAACTCTTACCCATCAATACAAAACATTTTATCCATCAACTTAAACACATTTTCTTTATCATATCCGTTTCAATTATCCGGGAATTCATTTATTCTTCATTCAAAAGATTTATCAAATATTAAATTTAGAGTAACTGACCTATTTGATTGTGATTTAGAATTCATGAATGAAATATTATGGCAATTTCAAATAGAAAAAATAGGTGATGAGATAACAGATTAAATATTTATTTTTAAATCATAATAAATGATTAAACAACAGCAACCACAGCAACTTAAGGCACAAAGCACCCAGGTCCCTCAGACCATTACATACGCCATATATACATATAATTCAAAGACGGCAGAACAAACGCAAAGGTTGAAATATGGAGATTTGGAGATAGTATTGAAAAATGACCATTTCGAATTCGTTTGCAAGGGTGGTGCAGTGATATCAAATATAAAAGAAATTTTATTTATGAATTCTAAAATTAAAGGTATAACGGATGATATAACATCAATTCCACCAGAAGAACAGAGATATTACGCATTAAATGCATTTCCTAAAGTTTTGAAGATTGGAAGATTTAATTTAAATGAGGAATTCATAGAAGGTTTCCTAAATGACATAATGAAGAAGGTAGATAAAGAATATATGGCTAGTGAGTTAATGAAGAAGGCAAATTTGGTTTATGTTGATGAAAAAGATAATGAAATTAAAGAAAGGGTTGAATGGTATCATGAATGGACATCAAAGATTTTAAAAACTAAAGCCGATACAGGATGGGTTTCAGGATGTTTAGACCTTAAAGCGGATAAGGAATACGTGGATAGTGAGTTAATGAAGAAAGCTAATATATCATTTGTTAATGAAGAAATAAAACAATCAGAGGTCTATTTTACTCCACCATTTTTAAATTTTATGAAATCATCAGATAAAACCTTTGATATAGATTCTTTTGAATGGATATGTTTCGATGGAGTGACCATGTATTTATTTTATACAGCTGGAGTGCTTTATTATTTTAAAACAAATGATTTTCAAAACTATAAATCATTTACTCCATCTGTTTTGAATCCTGATACACGAAAGCCAATCATTAATCCAAGAATTTTATATGTTGAATATAATAACGGTAAATTTATGGGAATGATAACGGTTGAAGATGATTTTTGCCCTTGTTATTCATTCGATTGTATCCAATGGTTCAAATGTAATTTAAATCAAGATGCTAAATTTAAATATCCAAATAATCCTATTAGATGTGTTAATAATAAATGGGTACTAATTTATGAAGTCAATCAAATTTTCATTAGTGAGGATGGGATAAATTATTATATGTTTAGTATGATGTCATCAGATTTGAAAATTGATTATACAAGTAAGTGGTATTACATTAACAACATGTATTTTATCCTACAAAATGATAAAATTTATAGATCATCTTCAATATCACAAGGTCAATTTGAACAAATTTTTCAAGCTGATGGAGACATTGAAGCTTTATGTTATGGATCAAATGTTTATGTTCTCGTTTCAGGTGAAATGGTCTATTCATATCCTGTAAGTTATAACAGACATATTTATTTATCACAGGATTTATCAAATTGGGAATTGGTTTATTCATTCACTCCAAAACTTACTCAAAATTATAGATTTACAAATTTATTTTATATTGATGGGTATTTCATTGCTTTAGGATGTGGTGATTTAGTAAATATCAGTAGTGATGGAAGAAACTGGTCTGAAATCACAAAATTTCAAGATGTTAGAAAAGCAATTTTCAAAAATAATACGTTAATATTGATAACAAGACCAGTTTTAAATACTCACCCAAATTCAATATTATATAATAAATTCAATATTCATAATGGATTAAATACAATTCTTGAGATGATTTACCCCATTGGTTCTATTTATACGTCAATGAACTCAACAAATCCAGCAACAGTTCTGGGTTTCGGTACGTGGAAGCAGATTATTACCTTTATTACGTAAGCCAAAAATAACATTTGATATCAAACTTGATGACTCGTTTTTGATAACAGATATTAGACGCAAGGCTGAAAATCATCAGTATAAAAACAGTTCTGAAGTAATTGAGGATTTATCACGTGTAATCCGTTTTGTAGATTGTGGAAATAAATATTTCATTCAAAAGGACTATAATATCCACGACAAAATGAATCAAATATCATTCGTTCTTCAATCAAACATGAAAGAGTCACTCAAAATGATTAAATTATTTAAAGAAGAAGGTAAAACCATAACAGCATGGGACGTACTATTAAATCAATTATCCTCATTAACCGTTAAGGGTGTTTGCTTTAAATCTGATTCCCCAGATGTTTTCTCAACGTTTCAAGGTTATAAATACAACGTTCTCGAAAAACCAGATTACTCAAAAATTGAGATGTTTATGAATTTCATTAAAGAAGCCATTTGTGATAATAACGATGAAGTGTATAAATACCTTCTCGGCTGGATTGCATCAATGATTCAACATCCTGGAATCAAGAATGAAACAGCAATTATTTTGAAAGGACTTCAGGGAACAGGTAAAAACAGATTTACAGACATTATTTCTGAACTCCTCGCCGGTTATTCATGTAAAAACATTACTGAAATAAGTGAGCTAACGGGTAATTTCAACTCAGTAGTTGAAAATAAAATGTTTCTTGTACTTAATGAACTCAAGAATGTAGGTGAAGACAGACTTGCAAACTTCAACGCTTTGAAATCAATTATTGCGGATAATGAGATTAGAATTAATGAAAAGAATCAACCCAGAAGAACAGCTCAGAATGTTGCCAATTTCATTTTCGTAACTAATAACGTCTACCCCGTCAAAATTGAAGTTGGAGACAGAAGATACGTAGTTTTAAGGGTTAATGGTAAATTCAAGGGTCAATTTGATTACTTCAAGAATTTAATGGATTCATGCACTAAGGAATTTTATGATAACCTTTTAACATATTTTATGCAATATGACCTTTCATCATTTAATGTACGAATCATACCGATGACTGAAGCCAAACAAGATTTAATTGAATTATCAACAAATCCTTTAGATGAATGGATAAATACACATTATGATGAATTGAGTGCAGGTATGACATGTGTAAAAATGCGCTATTCTGCAAACCATCAGACATGAAAGACAAGAATTTCCAAATGAGCATTAAGGATAAATGTGATAAGAAACAGGTAAGAATAGATGGTAAACAAACATGGTGTTATGTTTTGAAAGAAGAAATGAAAGGATTATATAAACAGGTTGAACCAAACGATAATGAGGATTCATTTACTGACGATGAAATACCTGTAAATGAAGCTTTATAAAGTATGATTGGAATTTATTTTTGCATTAATCCTGCTGTGTTGTCAAAATGTCATGTTGTCTCATTTTTTCAGAGAAGTTAATTAACCGAGTGACACATGGTGACGTAGTGACACCTTCAGTTCTTCAAAAATAATTCATAAATGCCTTCCTCATTAATCCTGTGATGTTGTCTAAATGTCATGTTGTCTCATTTTTTCAGAGAAGTTAATTAACCGAGTGACACATGGTGACGTAGTGACACCTTCAGTTCTTCAAAAATAATTAATTATTGAATAACCTGAAACCATTAATGAAAACATTATTTTTGGGTCATTTACACTCATTACGATGAAGTCATGACAAATCATTTCCGGGACTGTTGTCAAAATGTCATGTTGTCACAAACTTTAGAACGGCATAATTTAAATTTTTATTTTTATCATAAATGGATACCCCATAAGCTCAAAATTTACCACGAATCATAACAAGGGAGGAAACGATAAAAATGATGCGAGAACTTGCTAAAAATAACAAACCACTAAAACTGAGAAAATGTGGTTATGCAGTAATGATGGAAAGAGAGACGTTGTCGAAGAGGAATAAAAATTAAATTTGGATTGAGTTTAAAAATTCATCTTTATTAAATTCATCTCTTCCAATCAATTTATTTATTCTATAAATTCTTTTATTTTTGCTTCACTCAGTTTAAGGATTGAACGGTAAGTTTCTAATTTTTTCGATTATTTCTTTCCTTCTTTATCGTTTTCAACCCCCCTGCATTGCGGCTTCTTTTTGTAATAGCATATTTTTGATTTAATTCTGTTTAGTTTCTTTTATATTCATCGTCTGGACTCTTGACTGCTTTGTTGTCACTCATTTCTTACGAAATAAAAAAAATTAAATATTATTTAAATATAATGGAGTAATAAAATAAATCGGAATTTCTATTAATTTATTGTCAACTTCAACTAATGCATTGCCGTTAATATATCTAACAAATTCAGCTATTGTGTCAAATCTTCGTCTTCTTTTTGTCATTGATTTATCAGTTTTTTCCATAATCGAGATGAATCAAAACTTTATCCTTGTTTAAAATTCATGAGCCCCGAATTAATTTGTTCACGTTTAACATCATTCAACCTTTCCATTTGCTTTCTAATATATTCCCATTCTTTTGAAATATCATTTTTCATTTCCACCGGTTTCATGTTTATAGTTCTATGCCATGTATTATTGTAATAATATACTAACTGCTGTATGATGGAGTCATGATTTCCATCCCAGTATATCTGACCGTTAACCCCTAACGCATCTCTAAGAGTTCTCATTACCGCATCAACTATTTTATTATGAAACGTATATGGAGAGGATGAGAAGAAAAATTAATTTGTGGGAAATAATGAGTCATAGCTGCCTGAAATCCTTTATCACCATCACCCCTGATATTATCTACTCTTTCATGATCTAGTAAGTATTGAATAGCTCTTCTTGTTTCCTGTTCTGTTTTCCCTTTCACCGGAATGCAATATAAATATCTAGTGTTAATGTTAATGGCAAATAAATAAGTAACGTTTCCTTTTGAATATTCCAGATGATCGATTTCGTATGAATATGGATATGGAGCAAATGAAGGTCGACTAAATTTTTCCTTTAACGGTTGAATTTTTGGGTCAATTGGTTTATTTAATATCTTGAAATCCTTTTTAAAATCTTTTGCTTCTTTAATGTTGAAATGGATATAATAAAGTGAATGATGAAGGATTAACTGAAGGAGGAGGCGGTACTGTCGTTGGAGGTTTTGGTGTTGCAAGTGGTTTAATTTTATCTGCTTTGATTTTGGATTTCATTCCTTCCTTCATTAATTCTGGATGTATTCTATTCATTTGTTTTAAATATGCTGTATATAAAGGTTTGATATACTTTCCCGCTTCGAGTTTATGTTGAAGGATGAATTCCAAAAGTTGATCTTCATTTAAAAGTCGGGCTGAATATGGTTTAACTAATGAATCATAAATTAAAGCTTGTGCTTCATTTATGGTCTGAAGGACCTGGGTGTTTTGTTCCTTTTGTTTTTGCGGCTCAGGATTATATAATTTATATAATTCATCAATATCTTCTTCTGTTAATACTTTATTTTTGAAATCTTTCAACTGTTTAAGTTGTGATTTAGTTTTTCCCTTTGAATATTCATTATTTTTAATTTTGTCTTTAATTTCAGAAATTATTTTATTATGATATTTCAAAATTTCATTTTTATAATATGGATAATAATATTCCATATCATCACCCGTTATATTTTTATTATGTTTTTGGAGATATGCTTTTAATTCATAATAACTAAGAAAATTTTGATTAAGTACTAAATCACCAATTAAATTTTTTAAATCTACGCTATTCATTTATATAAAAATAAAATAAATGTTTAAGGGTGCCCACCTCTTTGAATCATAGTATCAAAACCATCATTAACGGTTCCTTCTTCTAAAACGGTATCAAATGGTGGCGGTTGTTGTTGCTGTTGATGCTGTGATGGGATTTAAAAAATTCGTTGTGGTTCCTTTTGTCTCTTCTGTGGCATTTCATTAAAAATAAACTTTAAATTCTTTTAAATAAATGGCATACAACATCCATTTTCACAACATACAGCCTTAGTGTGTGCTCCTGTTAATGCAGTCTTACCAATTGTTAAGCGAGTCATTGACCCGTTTTTAAGTTGTAAATTAATATTTGACCATCAAATATCACTTTATCATTTATTATATCCAAATATTTTTTAGGTGTTAATTGTTTATTTTGTCTTAAACTAACACCCTTCATTTTTTGTGCAATCTTTTTAAAATCACTTCCATCAATTGAACCGTTGAATGATGTATAACACTTAGGACATAAAG